ACCAAGGCTGTGTTTTTTGGGAGGTGAACCACAGAAGAGCTATTGCTGGGGATTGAGATTAGAAAATAGTTAGACAGTAGTTTTCAGAGACAAGAAGGGATATGAGGGGGGAATATTTGGAGAACAGAGTGGATATTAGAATGAGACTTCTTACCTCTGACTCATCCTACAAACTGTGTTTCTTATGCCTAAGATAATTTTAGAGAGAACAGTCATCTCAGACATGTCAGATAGACTTTATTCAAACCCTGGGACAGTCTGTCTTTCCTTCTCTCAATTCTAAAGGTTCCATCTAAACTCCAGAGCCATGGAAAAGTGCTTTTTTTTTTTTTTTTTTTGAGTTGAAATCTCACTCTGTCACCCAGGCTGGAGTGTAGTGGCACATTCACAGCCACCCCAGTGTTGACCTGCTGGGCTCTGGCGATCCTTCTGCCTCAGCCTTCCAAGAAGTCAGAACTACAGGCATGCACTACCACGCCTGGCTAATTTTTTTTTTTTAATTGTAGAGATGAGGTCTCACCATGTTGCCCGGGCTGGTCTCAAACCCACAGGCTTAGGCAATCCACTCACTTCGGCCTTCCAAAGTGTTGGGATTACAGGCTGAGTCACCAAGCCCAGCTGAAATGTTGATTTTAATAGCTTCTCTTTGACCCTGAGAATCACTGGCCAGTTTTAGAAGTTTGCTAAGATCTTAGAAGTTTGCTAAGATCTTTCTACCTTGTCAGTAATATTTACGAGGGATAGGGACAAATTGTATTGGCGTGGATGGTTGACAGTGAAAGGAAGATTTCAGTAGCTTTTCCAGATTTTTGGGGATTTTAACCTTTCTAACACTGAATTTCCTTATAGTTGAAAAGGGGGGGGGAGACATACCTTAGTTTTATACTAAGAAAACTTTAGTTATAGGCAGTCATTAGGTTACATAAAATTGCCACGATGCCTGACATCTATTGAGCTGCTAGTTTCCCTTTCATCTCAGATAATTTTTTTTAGAAATAGAAATCATTTGTAGTCTGTTGTGAGTTACAGTCCATTAATTTCTTCTTATTTATTACCTTTGATCATGGATTGCTCTTAACCCCTTTTGAAGGTATACTACCTTAATCCATTTCTTCCTTTTTCTTGTCATTTGGTGGCTTCCTTCCAATTTCTTAATTCTTAAAGCATCCACATAAATAAAGCTTATTAATTTCCACTGATTTTTACCCAGTTGACCCCTACTCAACCTTGGAATCCAAGCCCTCAAATTCAGCTCAGCACTTCTAGAGTGACAGTTACATCATCAGTAGATAACTTGAATGCATATATTTTGCCATCTTTATTCAATGATCTCTGTAGCCGTTACAATGAAGAAAAAAAAGGCAGCTCTATATGTAATGATAGGAAGTGATATTAAAGCTATCTATCTTTATGTGAAAAGGAAGGCAAGACACAGAATGGTGTACATATATAATATGATAATATTTGCAGGTGGAACTATCCACTAACAATGGGCGGACACACACACACACACACACACGCAATTGGATCTGCTTGGAGGATTTATGGAAGGTCACTATCAAGGTCTCTGGTGAGGGGAACTAGGTGAGTAAGAGATAAGGGTCAAAGGGAGAGTTTTTGCTGTAAACCTTTTATCACCTTTTAGTTTTGTACTATATGCATATATTTCCTACTCAAAAATTCATTCTAGGGCCAGACTCAGTGGCTTATGCCTATAATCCCAGTGCTTTGGGAAACTGAGGCAGGAAGATTACTTAAGGCCAAGAGTTCAAAACCAGATGGGGTAATAAGTGAGACCCTGTCTCTGCAAGAAAAGAAAAAAAAAAAAAAGCTAGCCAGGTGTGGTGGTACATGTAGTCTCAACTATTTGGGAGGCTGGGGTGGGAGAATCCCTTGAGCCTAGGAGTTTGAGGTTACAGTGGTCTATGATCACATCACAGCTTTCCAGCCTGGATTACAGAGAAAGTCTCTGTCTCTTAAAAATTAATGTATTCACTTGAGGTAAATAGATATGATAGAGAATGAGACAAAGGTTATGTTTCGTGTTAAAATACTAAAAAATTAAAAAGCAATTGAAATAGGAATAAGTTTTTCATTTTTTGGTACTTTGTCACTTAATTCTATTTTGTTTACTCCTAAGGGCATCTCAAAACCATCAGTGAGAGTGATAAGTGGCCCAAAATGATGAGAAAATCAAATTGTTTACCTGCCTCAGGAGCAGGGCACCTCCACCTCTACTGACAGGTGTTTTCTGGTCTGTGTTTTATAGAACAGGCCCTTGGCTGTGCTCTCACCATCCTTTCTCCAAGATTCTAATTAGTCTCATGTTCTTCCAGCAGTCTTATCCTGTTGATCTTGACCTTCATTCCTTTGGTCACCCATGGGCACAGTATTATGCTCAACTTGTTAACAGGATAAATCAACCTAGTCTTGTATCCATACTTGAAAAAACTCGACTCATCTACTGGTGGACATATTTTTCCAAAAAATGCCAACTCCTGGGCTATTAGAAGTCCCCTTTACTCTATTATAGACAGGTTCATTCTTTCTTCTTTATCAAGTGTTAAAAAACTCAGGAATGCTGAAATCTTACCTGAAGGCAAGTTATGGAACTGTGAATATTCATTTAAAAACTAAAATTCTCTTTTTTGTGTGTGTGAGCTGACCCATATAGTAGTTGTACTATCTAACATTCAGAGTGGGGCATCTCACTGGTTATTAGGATATGCTAAGAACTTGCAAATTAGTCCGATTTTCTCAACTTTGACACTATTAACATCTTGAGCTTAGTAGTTCTTTGACATAAGAAACTGTTCTGTGCGTTGTTTAGCAGCATCTCTGGTCTATACCCGTTACATGCCAGTGGCATCCCCCACATTATAACAACCAAAAGCATCCCCAGATGTTGCCAAATATCCCAAGAGGACAAAATCACCCCTGGTTGAAAATGAACATCTTAAGCTATGTCTTCTCTATGACGCTATGACCAGAGTATTATGCCTGCTTCTATGAAAAACACTTTTGTTCTCTACACTCACACGACACTTCTGTGTGAGCACATGTATGGAGGTTTTTCTGCGTACACCAAGTGATTCGCCAATTCTCAATACCAGCTGAGTGTCCTAACTCAGTTCTGACACTATATACCTGAAGTTAGCATCAGACCCCACACGTTAAGGGTTCAGTTCCCCAAGCCTGCCCCCATTTCAGATGCCAATTGCAAATCCAGGCCTTTGGTATTTCTAACACATCAGCTATAAATTGGGGGTTCCCACAGCCCCCACCTCAGGTTTGATACTTGGCTAGAATGGTTCACAGAATTCAGGAAAGCATTTTTTACTTAGGTTTTCCAATATATTATAAAGAATATTACAAAGGATACTGGTGAACAGCCGGATGAAAAGACTTAGGGCAAGATATGATGATGTTTATTATTTACCTCTACGATTAGAAATAAGTTCCATGAGAACAGCATCTAGTTTTTGTTCATTGCTGGAGTGGTGTTTACCCCAATGTGAGGTGCCTGTCCCCCATAAATACTGAGTGATTAATAGTAAAGGAATTATATGGATGCTCTCTACATAATAACATAAGGAGGCTCTGGACTGGGTGTAGTTCAGTCACTTTCTCTTTGAGGAACTCTCTTTGTGGGCATGTAGACAGGAAGACCTGAAGATGAGCTAGCAGTTCTTACCTTGTTGTGTTTGTTTTGCTGTCTGTGGGTGCTGGCTGGTCTTAGCTCAGAAAGGAGAGGGCTCATTGATACTTAGTAAGAAGGGAACAGGCCATGCTACACTCCTAGAACAGCTTGCTCCTCCCTCCCTGTAACATAAATTTGCCATTTAAAAGTGTTTAATGGTTTTAACATTTAGTACATTTACAGTATTGTGTGACTATTACTACTATCTAATTACGGAACATTTTCATGATCCCCAAAGGAAATATCAAACCCATTAAGCAGTCCTTTCCCATTTCCCCTTCCCCTGCAGCACCGTGGCAACCACTGTTTTAAATTTCTGTCTCTATGGATCTGCTTATCCTGGATATTTCGTATAAATAGAACCCTACAATATGTGTTCTTTTGTGTCTAGCTTACCATGATATCTTCAGGGTCCATCCATATTGTAGCATGTATCAGGACTTCATTCCCTTTGTGGCTGAATACTATTCCATTGTATGGATATACCAGATGTGTTTTTGTTTGAACATCTGTTTTCAGTTATTTTGGGTATAAACCAGGAGTAGAACTGCTGTGCCACCCAGTAATTCTGTTTAATGTATTGAGATACTACTAGACTTTCATATCACTGCATCATTTTAAACTTCCACTGGCAATGCATGAATGTCCATTTCTCCACATGCTCGTCAATACTTATTTTATGTTTTTTAAAAAAATTAATATTATTATAGCCATCTTAGTGAGTGTGAAATGGCATCTCACTGTGGCCTTTATTTGGATTTCCCTAATGACTAATGAGGTTAATAATCTTTTCATGTGCTTGTTGTTCATTTGTATATCTTCTTTGGAGTGGGCCTTTATTTTGATGCTTACTTTTTTTGCATTGTTATAGTGGATGAACACCTTTCTCTCTATTTATTGGCCATACCCTGCCTCATTTATAAAATGAAACTAATAGGCTCTTCAAGAGACAGATTGATTTTTAGAAGTCAATGCATTGCTCCAGTCATTGTTGACATCATTTTAAAATGTCCTCGATTTTCCTTCTTGCTCTCCTACTTCATTTTAAAATGCAGCATGCAAACCCTGGGCTTATTTCCCAAAATGGCAAATTTAATTCTGTTTTAATTTTCTGAATTTTGACATCTCTAAGTCTAATCCATCATTGCATACTGTGAATTTTTAGATTTAAACATCTTTTGAAGACAGTTTGCTTCTTATCTAATATAATACTTGGGAAAGTATTTGACTTTTTGCTATTTTAGAGTCAGCAGGTGACTATTGAAAGTAGTTTTTATTGTACTGTTTGTTTCCTTTTCAGAAAAAGTTGCCTTTGACAACACTGGCTCAGTGTCTGATGGAGGGGTCAGCTATCCTGGGAGATGACACACTTCTTGGGTAAGATGATACCTTGCGTGGGTTGGTGCCAAATCTAGGTAAGTCCCCATCTATAAAAAGGGGACTGGAGCTCTTTAGCGAAGTACTGAGGACACTTGAATTCTGGCTAGGGACTTTGGTGGAGAAAAGGAAAATGTTACCAGTGAGAAATAATAGCTTTTAGCTCCAAAGTTATATTGTCTGTGCAGTGAGGCAAGGCCCAAGTAGAGAGATTAACATAAGACTGGTGAAAGACTGTTAGAATCCCTAGGGCTCTAGCAGAAGCAAATATGAAACCTCTTAATGTCAGATATCAGAACTTAGGGAATTCCCAGAAGAACAGTCCTTGCTGATTTTGAGCTCACAGTAAAACAAACTAAAAATAATATCATCATGAAAGAGCATCAGTAGGAGAATCAATACCCTAAGAATAAAAAATAATAGAACAATTTGAAAGAAAATATAAAATAATGACAGAAAAAAAAATTTAGAAATTAACTAAAGAAAAATTCCTTGACAAAAGAATCAAACTATCAGAAGAATGTGCAGAATTGAAGAAAAAACAAAATAAACTTTGAAAAAATTATACTGACAATTTTAAAACTTTAGTTGAGATAAACTGGAGATTACATACAAAACAAGAATTGGTGATCTTGAAAACAGATCTAGAGCTGCCACCTGGAATGAACAGAATGAAGTACAGAGGTAAGGGTGTTGGCATTATTAAGCTGAGTGACATAGGTAATAGATTGCAAAGATATAACAGTCAGTATCATAGAAGTTCCTTAGGAAGGAAATAGGGAAAGGGGGAAGGTTGTGGTTGAAATTTTTTCTTCCAGATTTGAAGAAAAACATAAGCCTTTAGATTTAAGGAGATCAAAAAGTTTTAACTGAGATCAACAAAAAGAAGTCCATTCCTGGACATACTGTAGTGAGACTACAGATTATTAACAAAAAAGAAAGAAATTTAAAATCAATCAGAAGAAAAGATAATTACCTATAAAAGAGCAATGAAACCAATAACAAACTTTTTATTCATCAGCCACAATAAATGCTAAGAGATCATAGAGGAATATCTTCCAGTACTGAGCAAAAATGAAAGAAATCTAGACTTCTATGATAAACAAAATCACTATTCAAGACTAAGGGGAGAATAAAAATATTTTCAGGTAAAGATGTAGAGAAGTTACTACTTGCGTATTGTCACTGAAAGAAGTAGTTAAAGTTAGTTTAAATAAATTGTTACCGGGAGAAAGGCGGAAAGTGTGAATAGCAAGGTAGAATTTAAAAATCAGTGAATGTGTTGTAGGAGAAGAAAAAAAATTTCTCACTAACCATCTTAGGTTCATTGTCTGGTGCCCTGCAAATTAGATTGGCAAAAGGCAAATTAACACAAGGAAAGCATAAACATATTTTTAAACATGTGTAGCACACTTGAATGGGAAAAAAATATTTGCAAATATCCCCAAAAGTGAATGCCATAAAAGCTAAGATAGATGAGTAGAGCCTCATCAAACTGAAAAGTTTTTACACAGCAAGAGAAACCATCAAGAGAAACAAGAGACAACCCACAGAATGGGAAAAAATATTTGCAACTTATGCACCTGACAAAAGTCTAACATCCGGGATCTACGACGAACTCAAACAAAGTGAAAGAAAAAAAAATAAACAACCTGTTAAAAAGTGGACAAAAGACATGAACAGACACTTCTCAAAATATGTTGTACAAGCAGCTAACGGACATATGGAAAACTACTTAGCCTCACTAATCATCAGGGAAGTGCAAATCAAAGCTTCAATGAGATGCCACCTAGCTCTGGTAAGTATGGCTATCGTTAATAAGTTAAAAAACAACAGATGTTGGCACGGGTACAAAAAAAGAGGAATGCTTCTGTACTGTTGGTGGGAGTGTGTTGGCCAGTTAGAAGCCCAGACTTCACCTCATGCAGCCTACTTGATGTAGTTAATCCTCACTTGCGCCTTGCATCTCTACAATAAAATAAAATAAAATAAATTAAAAAAAAACATGTATAGCACATTCACATGGGAGAACTCAGGGACAAGTAACTCAAAGGGTGGTTAGAACGTGGGGTTATATAACATTTAAACAAAGAATGAAAATTTTTAGAGAACTGACTAAAAGGAGAAGGGCTTTGACTTTCTAAGGTGGCAGATTGTAAGAAGGTAAATATATGGGGGAACTAAGGGAAGATGAGGGATGGTTAATGAAGTTTGTTATGAAGATTCTTCTGGTACTCTCTCCCAGCTGATAAGGGTCTAGAATTGTCTTTGGTGATTAGCTTCTGTCCTTCTTGCTAGATGGGGGAAGAGGAGCACCTTTACAACTGTATATTCTGTTTTTGTGCAAATGGGAGAGAGCAGAGAACTTTTCTTGTTATCTGCCTCTTCTCAATTACCTCCAGCTCAAAATAATCCTTATACTGAAGTGGCATATTTTGAGGTGGCATATTCTGCTATCCTTCAGTGTAAAGAAATATAAATAAGCATTGAATTAAAAATAGCATTATATTAATGAATTTTGGAGGGTTACAAGCAAAGTAAAATTAAAATAATGGAATAGAATAACATGAAACATTGGAGAGAGAGTCAGTGTTTCAAGCTATTGTATTGTTTGAAAGGAGAATAAAAATAGTACCTTTTAATTTAATGTCAAGTACACCAAGTCCCCTACATACAAAATAATGTTATTCTGAGAGCTTTTTCATAAGTCTAGTTTGTTTCTAAGTCCAACAAAGTTTAGCCTAGGTACCCAACTAACACAATTGCCTATATAGTACTGTATTTAATAGTTTCATAATACATTTCACACAAATAATACATTTTTTAAAAATACAAAAAAATAAAGAAAACATTTTTTATCTTATAGTACGGTACCTTACATGCAGGTGATAATGTATAACATACACACAAACTAATTTGTGTGAATGGGCATGTGAACACACATTTGCATCTTTGAAAGTTCATAACTTGAAGGTTTGTATGTAGGGGACTTACTGTATGCATGTTAGAAAAGTAAGAGTAATCACAAAAAAGATAGAAAGAAATTGTGTAACTTCCAAACTAGCAAAAGGATGTCAAAGCAATAAATAGGGTAAAAATCAAAGAGAGGACTAAAGAGAAAAGATTTTAAAAAGCATAATAAAAACAAAAAAGAAAATGAGGATGATAGCAATTACTACATATTTATCTGCAATCATAAGAGATACAAATGGAATAAACTAAACTGTTTAAAATGTAGAGACTTTCAAGTGGACAAACAAGAATCCTGTTCTATGGTATTTCCAAGAATCATGCCTAAAATATAATGACACAGCAAGGTTGGAAGTAAAGATAACAGATTGAACACACATCTGATTTGTCCCCTTCCAAAATCCACTAAAACTATAATAAAGGGATTTTTTTCCCCTTAAAAGACATAAACTCATGGTGGCAAGGAAATTAGGAAAATGACAACAATAACACAATTTTTTGATCTGTAAATATATGAGTAACTTGGCAAGTCCCTAAAAGTTGACTCCCAAGTCAGAGGTAGGATATGCAGAGATCCAATATATCTTACACCATGAAATGTTTACAGTGCTCAGGAGTTGGTGGCACCAGTGGTCTCTGGAATAGTGGTCTTTGGGGGAGGATTTGGTAGTTAAAATATTGAATGTGAGTTGAAAACTTTTCAGATACCACTGGGATCATTCAAACCCTGCCCCTGTCCACACAGGATATTAACATTCCTCTTACTCTGACCCCAACAGAATTCTGTAGAAGGGATAAAACAGCATCTGAGAATTCAGCCATATGGACTATAAGGTTATCATTCTGTAAACAAGAAGATTGAGTGATCTGATGCATACCGGATACTGACACATACCCTTTCCCCTGACTGTGCAACCCCCAGGCCTTTACTTTCTATGCAGTATATTAGAAAAGTCTTCTCAGGGGAATCTAATAAGCTCAAAAGGAAGGGCCCAAAGTTCCAAGGACGTGGAGCGCCCCAGTGTCCTAATAAGTGGCCTATTCTGCTCTTTCTACAGGTAAGTTTCACTTACTCCAAGCTTTTAGTCTCTACCCTTAAATATAGACAGACACCAGAAACCACCAGACCTCTGAGGAAAGTCTCTAACCTGAAACTTAGAGACCAAAACAAAGGTGAGGGGGTATGGGGAATGCAATTTGGAAGAAAGAGATTGTATGAGGGAAGAGAAGATTTCAGGGAAACTATCATGTTTTCAAGGGACAGGGGAAGAGAATACATCCAAGAAATGAAAAATAGGCTGTTAATACAAGGTATTTATGGGAAAGAAACATTCAGAGATCAAAAGCAAGCTTGTAGAAATGAAAAAAAAATATGACAGCAGATGTGAAATTCTCAGCAGGTTTGGAAGATAAATTTGAAGAAATCATCCAGAAAATCAAGCAAGGAAACATGGAAAATAGAAAAATTTAGAAAATTAGGGGACCAACCCAGGAAGTCTTATGCCTGAATAACAGGAGTTCTTAGACAAGGAGAAGAAGAAATAATAATAGTAATAATCCAATAGCATTTTCCAGATTCAAAGGACGTGACTTTTTATACTGAATGGGCCATTTGAACTGAATGGGCAAATGGGGAGAATTAAACCCTTGCCACAGGGCTTACCATCATGAATACCAGTGACTAAAGATTCTACAACTTTCTAGAGAAAACATTGTCATATACAAAGGACCAGAATCATGAATGCTTCCAGAGTTACCAAAAGCAACAATGGAAGCTAAAAGCTTCCCATGGAAGCATTGCCTTCAAAATTCTGAAGGAAACTATGCTCAGCATAGAATGCAATATACCCTGAAGAACTCAAATCACTCTATCAGAAAGATACCTGCACACGTATGTTTATCACAGCATTGTTCACAATAGCAAGAACCTGGAACCAACCATGCTGACCATAAAAAGAGGACTGGATTTAAAAAATGTGGTACAGACCGGGCTCGGTGGCTCAGCCTGTAATCCCACACCTTTGGGAGGCTGAGGTGAGTGGATTGCCTGGAGTGGATTGCCTGAGCCCGCGGGTTCAAGACCCGCCTGGGCAGGCGAGACCTCATCTCTACAATAAATCAAAAAAAATCAGCCGGGTGTGGTAGTGCATGCCTGTAATTCCGGTTACTCGGAAGGCTGAGGCAGAAGGTTCGCCAGAACCCAGCAGGTCGAGGCTGCGGTGGCCAGGAGCGGCCACTGCACTCCAGTCTGGGCGACAGAGTGAGACTCCAACTAAAAAAAAAAAATGTGGTACATCTACACGATGGAATACTCCACAGCCATAAAGAAGAACAAAATCATGAATTTCGCAGCAACCTGGATGGAACTAGAGTCTATAATACTGAGTGACCTCTCACAGAAACAGAGATCTGAGTATCACATATTCTCACTCATACAGTGGACCTTGAACATCTATCGTAATACTGTAAGAAAAGGATTGACAGTGGTGGGAAACTATGGGGGGAGGGAGAAGGGAGGTGGGATTAACGGTAGTCGATATCTGTCTGGGGATGGAGAGATACCCCTTATCAACAAGGGTACCTGAATGAAGCATATTTGTATGCCTAACCTTTAACTGTACCCCACAATATTAAAATAAAAAATATTGATTTAAAAAAAATTAAAAAAAAAAAAAAAAAAGAATTCAATATCCTGCCCAAGTATCAGTCATTGTGACAGTAGAGGAGACTGTCATGACATGCATGGTCTTAAAAGTGACTTTCCACACACTCCTCTGGAAGCTAAAGCAAGATGTGCTCCATAATGAATGAGGGATCAAGAACGAGGTAGATGCAGGATAACACAATATCCAGCACAGGACAGTTGGAGAGAGGATCCCAGAGAATGGTGAAAGGAGATTCCAGGAAGACCTTTGTGTCCTGGGGATATAGGAAACTCAATCCACACTGAGACAGATCCAGGAGAGATTAATTCAAGAAGATGAAATTCTTATCATGTATGGTTCAATATCTTTTTTTGGTAGTATTTTAAAATTTTAATGTATATCAGAAAAAGCAAAACTAGCACATAAAACATATAAATTTGATGTTGATCATTGCTTAGGATGAGGTTTACTTTTTGAGTTAGGTGAATTTTAGTTCAGTATCTTGAGAGACAAATTGGAAAAGTAGGAGAGTATTTTGAGTTCAGTCAGATACATATTAAAATAAATAAGCAAACCAAAGCTAGCCAATTATTAACTCCAGAGAGAACAAATAAATGTGTAGGAAAGACTAGTAATCCTAGTATACTAACCCAACTTAAGTCTAAATAATATGAAGTCAAATATAAATACTGAACATTTACTGATATAAATAAGTGGAGGGAGGAGAAATGTAAGCAAAACTAAATTTTCAGTTTCTGTTGTTGCAAGTCGATAGCTGACATTTAAATTTTTTTCAATTAAGAAATGGCATTAGAAATATGGAAAAAAGTGCCTGGGCACAGGTGGCTCATGCCTGTAATCGTAGCACTTTGGGAGACTGAGGCAAGAGGATTGCTTGAGTCCAGGAGTTCAAGACTAGCCTAGATAACATACAGAGACCTTCTCTCTATAAAAATCTAAAAATTAGCCAGGCATGGTGGCATACACCTGTAGTCCCAGCTACTCAGGAGACTGACGTGGAAGGATCACCTGAACCCAGAAAGTTGAGGCTGCAATGAGCCATGATGATCATGCTACTGCCCTCCAGCCTAGGTGACAGTGAGACCCTGTCTCAATAAAAAAAGAAGAAAAAAAAAAAGAAATACCAGAAAATCATATTAAAGGCACCATTGAAAAGGTACAAAAATAAAACTATAACGTGGGAGTTGACATTTGCAGCAGGTACAATAAAAAATTAGAATCTGCATTCACATACCTATGTATATGAAGAGCTCCTACAAATACATGCAAACAGATACATCCCAGTACAAAATAGCCAAGGAATATGAAAAGGTACTTCCTGAGAGAGGAATCCTTGATTGCTCAAAGCACATGAAGAGATATTAAGTCTCACTAGTGGTCACGGAATGCAAATTAAAACCAGAATGAGGTAATATTTTATATCCACCAGTTTGGCAGAAATGAAGATGCCTACCGGTACTAAGGATTGACAAGGGTGTGGAACAATGGGAACTCTCATTTGTGCTGGTGAAACTCGCACACTGCAGGGGCAAATTGACTGCAGCACTACGTATTTTAGCCAAACACTTATTTGTGGGAAAGCTGAATAAATAGTGGCATATTCATAAGATGGAATCCCATATCATAGAATGATCTAATTCTGCACATATCAGCATGGATAAGCTTCAAGCATAACAATGAATTTTAAAAGCAAGTAGTATAAGGATATGTTCAGTGTAAGACCACTGATGTAAAAACTGTTTTAATTGAGCAAAGCAGCAGTATTATATATTGTATGTGGACACATACATATGAAGCAGAAGTATAAAAATGTGGACAGAAGGGGAATATAATCACCTGAGAATAAGACTTACCTCTGCTCATACTTTTATTGATTTGTAAAAACATCTTACTTGAGTTTCAGTTAGCATGTTATCTACCATGCAAGGGGAGGAAAGCTGTATACAATTTGGGTAGAAATTAGCATCTTAGAAATCGTGTATCCTGTTGTCTAGGGATATGGCATAACTTCTGTTCATTCAGGTTTTCTTATCATTTGCTCATTATTAATCAGCTTTTGGAGTGGTTTTTGCATTGGATAATTGCCTATATATACTGGACTTACTAAATTTTCATGGCTTAGGAGGAAGTGTTTCTTTCTATTAGGACCTATTGAAATTGAGTTTTTGCTGTGTATGTGAAGATGTTGGTTTGTTAGTGTATTGATTTTAGCTGGTTTTTCCAGTGCTCCCACAGGAGATAGAAGCATCTGGCCCTTTCAAGACCTGTAAGCTTGGCATGTGTGAGTCTGTTTTCTCTATATCTCTTTCGTGTTTCTCCACATGTCCTTTTTTGTCCCAAGCACACAGTGAGTACTTGGCACCACTTGGAAGAATTAATTACTTCAGAAATAAAAACAGCTGGAAAAGGTTGGCCCATGGTATGCCATGCAGATCAGATAGTTTATTAACATCAACTCGTGAAAGTTCACTAGACTAGGAGGTGATGAGAGGATAACAGGTGAAATGTTATCTTCAAGGGTATTCAGTATGTTTTTTTTCCCCGTTTGATTGCAGGAAGATGCTGAAACTCTGTGGAGAGACAGAAGACAAACTGGCCCAGGAGCTGATACATTTTGAATTGCAAGTAGAGAGAGATGTGATTGAGCCTTTGTTTTTGCTGGCTGAGGTAAGCAGCAGAAAGGGGGCTAGGCCTAGGTGAGCATGGAAGTACAGAACCCTAATGGTAACCCCTCAGTCATTCTACTTCCAGACTTATTAGTGCTTTTATCCCTCACCCTACTCCCTGACATTGTTTTTTATCAGGGATTATTACCCAGCCACATGGTCAAGATTCCCAAATATGGCCCCTTTAGCTATTGAGCACTTGAAGTGTGGCTAGTGAGACTTAGGAACTCAGTTTCTCATTTTATTTAATCTTTGTTGATTTAAATACAGATTTCCAGAGCCACATGTGGGCTTTATTTATTTATTGACTTGGGGAAAATCGTACTTTATTTCTATAATGTAAAAATTTGCTTCCTTTATTTTTATAAATATAAAATATGTATCCTAGTTGCAGACCTCATAGCATCTTGGGGCTCTTCCTCCTTCAGCTGTCCCAGACCTTGTCTGGTTTCTTCTCTGGGTCACCTCTGGCACTTCCACATCCCCTGGTACTCTTTCTGAAACAGATGTGTGGGTAAATAATTACTCACAGGCCTAAAAGTATTCAAGGAGAAAATCCTAGATGAGGTGCTTTGGCGTAACCAGCTTTGGACTTGGATTCCTGCCTTTTACAGGTCCTCTCCTCGCCTAGTGCATCATGTCAGGCCCTCTGCTCCTCATAAGAGTGGTCAGGCTCTGGCCAAAAAGCCTGGAGCAAACCAAGGAACAAGTCTGACGTGGGTGCTGATGCTCACTTGGCGTGGCTCCTTCAAGACAACCACGTGGCCCTTCAGCTTTGCTTCGGGGCTCAGTGGTGACTCAGGTTGCCCAGGGACAGCTACAGTCACCTCCCTATTGGGAATTGTTACACTCAGTGCATTACTCATCCCTGCTTAGGAGAGTGAATAGAAAGCCTTTCATAGAACATTGGATTCTCCTCACATTTTTTCCTTATATAAAAACCACAGCCTGGGATGATTTTAGTTCAATTTTCGGCCAATTTTTGTTTTTCATTCTCACATCCTGCCCTACTTTTGCTGGGCCTGGAACCAAAATCCTGCACTGGGATGTTCAGTGAAGTCATTTTTAGAATGAAAAATATAAAAAGAGCATCCACATACAACCAAAATGGAAGAACTCGTAGCTGAGAAAAGCCATGATGGCAATGTTTTTTCATTATAGACTTTGGGAAAATCGTACTTTATTTCTATAAATGTAAATATTTACTCCCTTTATTTTTATAAATATAAAATATGTATCCTAGTTGCAGTCCTCATAGCATCTCGGGGTTCTTCCTCCTTCAGCTGTCCACTTTGAGTTCGGTCTCTGTTAGACCCAACTGCTAATCTCCCTTCATTTTTCCCTCTTTTTGGCCCTTGTGGAAGCAGGAAGAGATGTGATTGAGCCCTCAGTTTTGCTGACTGAGATAAGGGCAAGAAAGTGACCAGGTCTTCATGAGCAGGAGAGCACAGAATCTCTGAGATATTCTGGGTTGATGGGGGGCCTGGCCAACGTTCAATGAAGAGAAAGCAGAGTTTAGCTCAGGAAAAGGCATAAAAAATTTCATCTGCTGTTGGTCAAAGTGTACAAACTCTCATTTATGCAAGATGAGTAAATTCTAGGGATCTGATGTGCAGCCCGGTGTGATGATAGTTAACAGTACTGTATTCTACACTTAAAATTTGCTAGGAAAGTAGATCTTAAGTATTCTTACCACTATAAAAAAAAAAGAAACTGGAAACTATGGGAGTTGATGAATATGTTAATTCACCTTATTGTTGTAATCATTTCACAATGTTTGCATATTAAAACATTAAGTTGGATATCCAAAATATATATAGTTCCTGTTTATGATACCTTAATAAATCATTGGGGGAGGGGATTGTATCTGAAAATGAAGATTGGAGGCCCTCTACCAAACTTGCTGGGTGATTATCAATAGTTCTCAGAGAATTGTTTTAAAGAACAGTTCTTAAAATAATTTATCTTAAGCTTCAATTAGATCAGTCCTTTTATCTCCTGTAACCACAGGTGGAAATCCCAAATATTCAAAAGCAGAGGAAACACTTAGCCAAGCTGGTGCTGGACATGGATTCATCACGAACCAGGTAAAGTGTCTTTGCTTTCCTTTTTTACTTCTTTGAGGAAAAAGTGACTATACTGGGTGGGGCAAGGGTTTATGTGTGGTTGAGTATGTTTTCATTTACCATGTTTTTCTTGACACCCAAGTGCCAGGCCCTGGAGGTAATTATAGTGAACTCAAGATATTGAGTCCTTGCTCTCATGGAGGCTGCTGTCAAGTTTTGGAGATACATACTAGGCAAGAGAAGAAGCAAAACAGTTTCAGGTAGCATTAAATCATATGAAGAAAATAACACAGGGTCATTTTTGGAAGGGGATGATGTAAGGGAGCAACAGCATTGGGTAGGGTAAAACAGAGAAGACTCGAGACTTAAATGATGCGAAGGAGGCTGCCATGGAGAGATCTGGTACAAACTGTGTACAGCAGAGGGAACAGCAAATGCAAGGTCCATGAGGTGGGAATATGCTTGGCATATTCAAGGTACAGAAAGAAGTCACCATGACTGGGGTAGAAGGAAAAAAGGGGAGAGAAATAGGAGACGGAAGCCAAGAGGTAGAACGAATGATATGTCCTGTCCACAAAAGGGAAGAATTTCTAATTTTGAGGATGTGCTCAGGGAGAGATATCTCCTTTCTGTAGTCTTTCTTGTAACTTGAGTCCCTTTTGAGAGAAACAAAGTGCTGTTCTTCTGCACCCATCTCCCAGAGGCCACCCAAAAATTCATGTTGTAACAGGGGAGTGCCAAAGGCCCTGGGACGGAAAGGAACTATTTGGTTCTACCTAGGGTTTTTTGTTTTGTTTTTTAGTTGGGGTCTTACTCTGTTGCCTAGGGTGGAATACAGTGGCATGATCACCGTTCACTGCAGCTCACACACCTCAGGTGGTGATCCTTGTGCTTCATCCTCCTGAGTAGCTGGGACTACTGTTACATGCCATTACACCCAGCTAATTATTTTTATTTTTTGTAGAGATGAGGTCTCACTGTGTTGCCTAGGCTGGTCTCAAATTCCTGGGCTCAAGCAATCTTCGCACCTCAGCCTCCCAGAGTGCTGGGATTATAGGCGTGAACCACCATGCCTGGCTACCTTCAGCTTTTCATAGGCCAATTTTAATTATCTCCACATCTTATCTTAATTATCTTGAGATAAAGAAGCTAAAACAGAATATGCTTAGGCAGCAAAGTGTATGATACAGAGTCCTGTGATAGGAGTTAGGTCAGATCCCAAGGTTCAGATCAGCTATTCTTTAGACTCATTACCCTGGTCAAGCCACTTAGTTTTTCAGAATATTAGTTTCTTCACCTGTACACAGGCAGTAACATTTATGGGTTGACCAGAGGGAGTTGTTTTGAGTATTTAAGGAGATGATATATGTTATATCACTTCCCAAGCACTTTGCAAAAAGAAGCTGATACTGTATCTAGTTGGTACACTGGAATTCTGTATCTGGAAGAATCTACTATATAGAGCAGTCTCCCAGCCCCAGAAATAAAACAGATAAAATTATCAAAGACACAAGGATTTCTTGAGTTAACTTAGTGTTTCCCAAACCTTAATCCACCTGAATGATTTCTGCCATCTCTGTCTATGCATCTTTTAAAAGAGTTGATTACAGTGGGAGGCCCAGACTTCACCTGTACGGTGACCACTTACGTACCTAACCCTGAATTGTACACCACATCTTTAAAATAAAAAATTAAAAGGAAAAATAAAGAGTTGATTACTTTTTCAAAATAAATCTATTTTTGAAAGAAATCTTTTAGTACTACAATAAAATGGAAGCAGTGCCCTTTGCTGCAAATAATCAAGTAAGAATAAAAGTGAACAAATAAAGGAAAGCCAAGGTTATTAAATGTTGGATCCTGTTGACTATGGAAAGCTGTCATTCTGAAGCTCATCTCCCTCTTTGTTGGAGAGGTGTTAAAATTATTCTGATGCAAATCTGAGGCTGCCTCCTCAGTGCACCTAAGCAACAGAGAGCAGAATGAATGGAGAATGTTATATGCTATTACTTCTATGACTGTGTAACCACATAAAGTTGCATCTTATAAACACAAGTGTTCAAGTCCCATATTTGGGGAATCATATTAGATGATTGAAGAAATGTTGATTGTCCCCTTGGTATGATGAAGTAGACCCCTTGCTCCTGGGTTTGTGGGGTGATGTCCTTCTGTGAAACCTGGGTCTTAGCTCTGAGGTTTTCTTTGCTTCTGCAAGGAAAACCCAAATGTCTACCACAGAGCTTTCTGGTCAGGGGGATGAATGCTAGTATCAAAGCATGTCATTACCATCCATATTTTTATTTAGTCTTCTTATGAGAAGAGGAGTTACTCCTAGTCACAGCAGTGCTCCATTTCATCTAGTATTATGTTTTCAATGGTGACACCATGTGGTGTGGAAAGAACTTAGTTGTGAAAGCTTAGGGAGGTATCATTAGGGACCTCTCACCCATGATTTAACAGACTTTCTTTTTAAGTCTTCAGCTTATCATCTCTCATATACTAGGATTTTATACAAGAGATGATTACCAAATTTCTGTGTTTGTAAACTTCAACCTAGACTCTCTATGACCTTTGTTGTTTTAGACTGAAAAAGTCCTTTTTAGATTATCCTCATATAAACCTGGTTCATTTCCTTTATCACATCAATGGTTGTTCATAGCCTACTTTGTATAGTTGTGAGTTTGGGAGTAAGGGATTGCTTTGCAGAGATTATTGGCAGTACAATCCTCTCAAAAACTCAGTTGACTTCCCTTCAGGTCTCTGCTTTAGTAAAAATGATGGAAGATCTAACTCAAGGCCTCAAGTTATAGATTATCCATCAATTTAGATCATGGACTATAGGATGAAAGCAATATTCTTAGCCAAGCTGTATGCTTTCTTTCTACTTTGCTTTTAGACTGGCCATTTCTAGCCTGAGTTTCTCTGTCTTGTTGGACTTGCTGATAGCCACAAGAAGAAGCCAGCCCACCACAATTTCCTGCCATTTTCCTTCTTAATCAACACAAGGATTATATCCCAAAATTTAGCAGTACGAGTAAGACCAAATGCTCTGCTGTTGAATAGCTAGGATCACCTGCTACTCTCCTGGTACAGTTGGATTCTCAGTGTTCCCCATCCCCACCACAGGCTGTTAACCCAGTTGCACATGTTAGGGTCTCTCCCTTGCCACATTCTATTTCTGATTACCAAAGCTTTCTTTAGTCCTATTCTGTCCTTCATGAAGTACACTCTGCAGAACTAAAACAATGCTTTCCATATGGAGATATGCTGCCTTTCAAGACAGGCAGGATTTTTTAATGTATTATCAGCAAATCTTGAACAGTTGTTCCATAACTGAATCTTTGAATTCTGCCATAACTCTAATATCTAGTTGGTGGATAACATACCATCAAATCCAACTAATTTATCCACTGTTTAATTAGGTCTCAATTAAATGTGTACATTTGTCAATGAAATTCAAGTAATTTGACTTATCTGCTTTAAAAGCCAGTGATATAAACCTCAATGTCCTCAGAGAAAACTGATGCTTAGAAGATGAATGAAAGATTATAGGATCAAAGAATGGAGGAGGTAAGCTCAAGGAAGCTTTATGTTGAATTAAAGATTGTGAAATGAATTGACAGAGAATGATACACAAGCATCTTTTCTGCTATAGGTCTGGTTTGGAAGTGGGTAAAGAAGGAACCCCATTCCTTAAGTAAGCCTCACTTCTTTCTGGGCACGTATCTCAAGGTTAACCCTTCTGAGTCCAAGACACATTTCATTTCTGCTAAACTGGTTGCCTCTGGATCCTATGGACTAAATTATATCCTCCCCAAATTCATATGTTGAAGCCCTAACCTCCAGTTTGACAGTATTTGGAGACAGGGTCTTTAGGAGGCAACTAAAGATCTTTAGGTCATAAGGGTAGACCCCATTTCAGTAGGATTGGTGGCCTTGTAGGAAGAGAGAGCAATCTCTCTCTCTCTCTCTCTGCACACTCAGAGGAAAACTGTGTGAGGAGGCAGCAGCCATTTGCAAGCCAGGAAGAGAAGTCTCACTAAAACGTGAGCCCTGCTGGCACCTTGATCTTGGACATTCAGCCTTCAGAATGTGAGAAAACAAGCTTCTGTCATTTAAGTCACCCAGCCTGTGGTACTTTGTTATGAAGCCTAAGCTGACTAACAAATACACCTACATTTTGTGGAAGCAAGTAAACTAGTATAAGACAGGAGTTTGGGAAAGGAAACTGGATAGTTTATACAATTAAGAAGTGGATAATTAGAAGCAGAATTCTGGAACCTGGGAACTGTTGAGTCCCTCTGGGCCTTGCAGCAGTCTTGATGGCTTTCAGGAGTTATTTCTCATCTCTCAACAACTGCTTCACACAACATACAAGTAAGTGTCTTTTTCTTAGATCTGTTTTCTTCATGGTCACTGAATGTCTCTTGGGATCATGTCCCCTCCCCACCATGAACCCTGTTTCTTTTGTTTCAATGCTAAATGTGCCGAAGAGGGGATCCATTTATCTAGACTCTGCTCATGTGCCCACTTCCATGTTCTATCAGTTGGTCAAAGTGATGAAAGATGGGCACAGGGTTGGCTTGTATCAGGGCCCCTTTTCTGGGCTACTCACTGCCAGGGTATGTGGAAACTGGAAGCTCCCATGAACCACACACTGGTGCAAGAGTGGGAACAGGGACTGGAAAAGTGGAGGTTGCTGATGCTGGAGGAAAGAAAAGACGACTAGACAGATGGAACAGTGAATGTCCCACTAAAGAAACTTCCTTGTTGCTTTCCAGAATTATTCTTCTGAACTTATTGTCCTTAACCATCTTTGTGTTTGTCTTCTTTACCTATTTCCTGGTACCTGAAATTCTAAACCCTATTCCTCACTTTTCTTCCTCATTTCTCTCTGGTTTGTGCCTTGCCTTGATCTCCCATAGGTCAGGAAATTATTTTTCCGCTCTTTTCCTTTCAAAGCTCAAACTTTTCTGGGTTGATGTCCAGTATCCTTGTTTCTCCTCGGACAGAGCAGTTCAACTCAAGTTTACTTGTAGAATAGATGCTTGAGAAGACCCCCATACCTTGACATGCGTGATTGATGTCACTTTTCCCAACAGATTATTTACTACTTGTACAAATTTTTTCAAATTTCCTTTGATATTTCCTTATTTGAGTTCTACAAAGGGAACATTTTTGGGGCATCTTATCACTGGTTTATAATATCAAAATAGATTAGTTATATATTGCAAATGCAGTTTCCTGTAGAGAGAGAAAAGGTCCAAGGGACAAAATGGGGAAAAAATAAATCAATAAATAAACAGGCCAATAAAAAGAAAAGAATGAAATAATTTGGGGAAATGTCTTCATTTTAATATAAATATATTAAGTATTCTGATTTTTTAAAAAAAATTTGATCTGTTACACTAAGCCATATACATATGTAGTACTTTATGTGTATATATGTATTTTTTTTTAATACTTACTGGTTAGTTGTTTTTTTCTTTGGGTACTATCAGTCAGACAGTGATTGCAATGATTTCATAATTTACCATGAAGGTATATTTATCATCTGAGATACAAAAACAGCCTTGACATCTCATAGATTACTTGCCAAAAACCCCTACAACAGTTTAATACTTTTTAAAAATAGTTAACTAGGGAAGTATTAATCAAATATATCATTTATTTAGGATAGACCTTTATAAGAAAAGATTGCCCAGGGGTTTTTTTTGTTTGTTTTGTTTTGTTTTTTTACTAATTTTTATCTGTTAATTTATTTCAACTTAGATTTTTGAAACATCTTTCAGTAAAATATTTCCTGTCTGGCTTGCCCTGAATTCCTATCTTGGAAACAGGAATCTTTCCTAGGACATGTGTTCATCTCTGAAGCTTCAAACCAGCTTGATGTCCCAAAATCTTTTTAAAGTAATTTCTCTGTGATTGCATTCTTTAAGTGACAGAGGATTCTTGTTTTGCTTCTTTTTGATAGTAGTAAAGAGACTTTCATTTTCCTTTCTTATATTCTAGAGACTTGCACTTTTTTTTCCCCTGCAACTAACAAAAGAGAAAAGAAAACTCGAGTAGAGAAAATACTGAGTGATTAGATTCTTGACTCTTAAGATGAGGGTGATGTTCCACTTTCTGCTGCTGTGTTGGGTACTGCAGCCTGATGGTCTGAGAGCCAGATAGAGAGCCCTCAGGGCTATCTTGTTTGGTCTGTACACGATTGGCCTGTGCAGTGTTCAAAAGAAATGATATAATGTGTCACTTTTGATTAGGAGAATTCACATGGCCATTTCCAGCTTCTTTTGTCAGTTGAAACATCTGGCAATCCATGGTCCATCCTCCTGCTTACTTTGGCCCCATCAGCCCAAGCTCAAGAGCAGCTGCCTCTCTTAGACAAGGCGACACTCCCATCTTATTCCCTAGCTTGTTCCTCCGCTCCTGACTTCCCAAGACTGAAGCCAGGCTTGGCTGCTCTCTGTCATCTTGATAACACAATTGTTTTTCTTAGAACTGAAAAATAGTTTTATATCTCATGTCTCTATTACAAGTAGGAAATGAGGGATCGAATGGACTCATTCTTAAGATAATGGCTCATTTGACTTATTTTTCTTTTGCTGGCCTCTCTAACCCATTGAGTTCACAGACTCAATGGAAGAGGAACCCCCTGCTGAGCCCTAATTCAGCTTCAACTATCTAGTGTAATTGGAACCTTCTTTCAGGGCCTGCTTTTGGTAATTCCCTGATGATGACACAGCAACTGGAAATATCCGTACTTCCCTGAAAAAAATAAAAAAAGAAATTTCTGAGTGACTTTCTCCCTACAAAGATAACTTTTTAAAAAAAATCTAAATGAGGTATCTAAATTTTGATATGAAGTTGTTTGTGGTTACCAGTGGCAATTTTTGTTTTCAGATTTGTTTGAAATCCTATTGGCATAACTTCTCACTTAGCCAATGTTATCAGCTTCAGCCAAGTGGGTAAATGCTTCCAAACTCAAATGCCCATAGGTAGGCAGGGAACCTAAATGAGTGACGATGTCTGTTCTTAAAAGGCAGCAATAGTTATTTTGAAATACACAGCACATTATTTTATAATAACGTACGAGGGGTGACCCCACCCAACTGGAATTTATTTATAAAAAATTGTGTATTCTTACATGTTTAAACTTCAGTCACCTTGAAAACATTGGGATATGGAGGGTGAGGGTAGATGGATGGATGCAGAGGGACGCAGCACCGCCGGAGCTGGCATGCCAGAGGTGCACGCTGGCAACCAGAGATCCGTGTAATGCAAAGATTTGCAACACACAAAGAAGTGAAAGAAGAAAAGATTTATTTAAGAAAGCTTCACTTCCCCCAAACAGAAAGCAGGCCTACACTCTCGAAGAGTGTGGCAATGTGGCCCCCCAAGCCCCAGCTTAAATCCTTTCCCCTGGAGATGTTGCAATCAGGTAGATGTGACTGCCATGAGTTTCTTCTTGACCACTTGCAGATGTCTTGGAGACCCTGAGAGGTGTCCTGGTCACCATGCACCGAGTATGCAATGGGTTGATACTGGTCATACTTGAGAAATTTGAATTTCTAAAAAGACAAATGACAATAGACCGATAACGGTCATACTTAAGGTGTCTGTGTTTCTGAAAAAACAAAGTTGGCAAAGTTAATCTTTACCTAGAGTATGCATTTTTCCAGGACATAGTCTACTTTCTCATCATTGTGTTAGGGTTTAGGAACAAGATAAAAAATAGCTTCCCACTCTCGGTCTGTCCTTTCACAAAGTACTCTCTGTTTGATGCAATACACCTATCAATCAAGATGCTTTTTTCCACTGCTCAAAACAGTTTTTGAACTCATCAATTTTGATGCCTTTTAATGCTTCTACCGTTTTTTGTTTTACCACTTCCACATCGACAAAACATTTCTCTTTGAGGACTTTTTTCATCCAGGGAAACAATAAAAAAAGTCGCTTAGGGTGAGATTGGGTGAATAGAGAGGATGGGACACAAGGATCATGTTGTTTTTGGTCAAAAACTGCTGAACATTCATTGTGGTTTGGGTAGGTGCGCTCATAAATCACTCATCATAAAGTGGGCAAATGCATTGAAGGAATCTCAAAAAAAAAATTCATGGTAGACAAACAGCCTCTTACAAAAACACTAGTTGTTACACTGGTGCTGATGGGTTCCTAGAACTCTTATCTAGCAGGGGAAGCCTGTACTACAAGAGGCTCACCTTCCAAAAAATTCAGGTTTTTTGGGGTCCTCCCTTGAACAATTAAAATTACTGTACATTACTATTGTCACCATGATTAAATTCCAAATATTTCACCTCAAAAAATGAGTAAGGCAATTGATATATTAATTATCTTGACTTAATTATTCCACATTGCATATATATATTGAAATATTACATTGTACCCATATATGTTTATGAGTGGGGACCCAAAAACAGAATTATTTTTTGGAGTCAGACCTCTTCTTGTAGTATACTTGGAATTTACTCCTCTAGATGATTTGCAGAAGTAGTATCCTGAGTTGTGGCAAACAGGTTCTTCTGCCATGACCATACACCTGCCCATACCTTGCTGAGTTCAGCAGTTTTTGACTAAAAATAGCATGACCCCTGTGTCCCACCCTCCTTACTCACCTGATCTCACCCTGAGTAACTTTTTTTGTTTCCCCGGGTGAAAAAGACCTCATAGGGAAATGTTCTGTCAGGTGGAAGAGGTGAAACAAAAAATGGCAGAAGCACTAAAAGGCATCAAAATTGACGAGATCAAAAACTGTTTTGAGTAATAGAAAATGAGTCTCCATAGGTGTATTGCAGCAAAAGGAGAATACTCTGAAGGTGACTAAAGTTTAAACATATAAGAATAAATACACGTTTTAATGAATAATTAATGGTTTCAGGGGTATAGTTATAATTTGTCTCCTCGTATAGTTATAATTTGTCAATTAAAAATAGAAATAATTTTTTTCTGAAGACAACAATAGTGATTGTCATTTGGCTTTAGTGTTCAGTAGAGACTAGAAAAAATGATGGCAAATTGGGGGATACTTGTCCAATCTGAAGGGGCAACCTGACCTCATCTTCAGTCAAGCCCCCATCTCATAGTCTAGTACTTGGTATCTTTTCATTACCTTTCCTTTGAAGTGAGGGTGTGTAGTTCCCTGTGTAATATTTGTAACCAGGTATTTTCTCAGCAGTCCCACGGTAGCTCCAGGGCTCTACCTGTCTCACATCTCTCCTCTTTTTCTCCTATTTTCCATCAGGTGGCAGCAGACTTCCAAGTCTTCAGGTTTGTCCAGCAGCTTACAGCCTGCGGGTGCCAAAGCTGATGCCCTCAGGGAAGAAATGGAGGAGGCTGCCAACAGAGTGGAGATTTGCAGGGTACTTGCCCTCTTTGCTCCTCTCTACTGGGACAGACTGGGGAGCCCTCAGGAATTTCCTTTTTGTTCACTGGAGTTCTCTTAAAACTTTACCAGTGAGTCTCTAGTTGGAGATCTAGTTGATCTAAATGACCTCAAGCTTGCCGCCTAGCATCTCCAAAGAGACCAGGATGCATTCAAAGAGTTGGGGCTTTGATGGTGACCTAGACAGGGAGGCAGCATTGGATTCATTGGCGTTCCTGCATGGTAGGCAAAGAGGAAATGACCTTTGTTTCTGTGTGAAGTAAGCCATCTGAGTCCCCAAAGAACAAGTTATAGGCCACACAGGACAGTTCAGAATTTGACCGTGATGAGCCTTGACTCACTGTTGATAGTAAATTGTTTCCTTTTTGATGTTTCCTGAGGTTTATGAATCTTATGCCTCCTGGGAGATTCTTATCTATGAAGTGGGAAATTCTGGACATGGAAACAGTCACAGGAAAGAAAACTTCCCAATTGTTAAGAGACTATCATTCTAAAAACTGTGACTCTGTACTCGCAGAATGATGTCCTTTATTATACTCATTCAAATGTTTCCCATCTCCTGTCCCCACAAACATTTTACAGGGCTTAATTAGCAATACACCATTCATGATACTCTGTGTATATGTACATCTGTTTATATGCATATATGTCAGTTTGGGTTTCCCAGGAAACTAAAACCGTATGTAGACCCAAGGAACAAAAATATCACATTTCTATAAATATTCTGGGAGCCTCTTGTCTTAAGCACATACAGTTTTAAAGGAGAGTAACCACTTTGCCTATGAACATCTCTATTCTTTGTGGCTCTGTCTAGTCTTGTTAGCTTATCCACTGGTTTGGTTCTTTTACAACTGCTCTGTGCAAGTGGCTTTGACCTTGCGATCAGGTAACATTCAGAATCAGGTAGAGTTTCTCCCTGGAATTAGAAATATGGAGAGACTTTTAAAGAATTTATCATCTCCTAGGCTGAAGTACTGTGGAACTAAACAGAGTAAGACCAGTATTTCAGATCCAAGATTCATTGTGAGTAAAGCTGATTTGTACTTTGAACTCATGCATAAATGGCAGATATCTAGCTGGCATGCCATTTCTGAAGCATAATTCTTCTCTCCTGCTGATTTCACTTTTACAGTGTATTCTTTAACCATCTACCATGGATCTATGTTCTTCAGTTAAGAATCTTTTTTTAAAAATTTCTTTTCAAATAGGCAAAAGAGGGTGGTGTTAAGAAGGGATGCCAAATGTGAATGTCCAAATACATCAGAATAAAATTTTAATAGCTTTATATATTCTTATGTAGCCTTTTACATTTGCTATTGTGCCAAAAATATATTCAATTCCTCTTCAAAGTTTGCAAAAGTAGTAGCTGTCCATCATAATCAGTTAAAATATACAAAATATATCAAGAAAGACAACCATATTCTCCTATTCCCTTCCTGCTTGTCAAAGAGACAAGCCATCAAAGGACTAAAAATAGAACTATCATTTGATCCAGCAGCTGGGCTTCTGGGTATCCACCCATAGAAAATAAATTGGTATATATAAAAGATACCTGCATTTATATGTTTATCGCAGCTCTGTTGTTCATAATAGCAAAACTATGGAATCAGCCTAAGCATCCATCAGTGGAGGATTGGATTAAGGAAAAAGAAAAAAAAAAAATATATATATATATATATATATATAGAGAGAGAGAGAACAGAATATTACTCAGCCATAAAAAAGGACTGAAATCATGACCTTTGCAGCAACATGGATGGAAGTGGGGGCCTTTATCCTAGTAAAATAATTCAGAAAGTCAATACTGCATGTTCTCACTTGTAATTGGAGGCTAAAAAATGAATACACGTGGACATACAGAGTAAAATAATGGGCATTGGAGACTACAAAAGGTAGAAGGGTGGAGAGGGAGAGAAGGTTGAAAGCATGCCTATTGGGTACAGTGTTCAGTGTTTGGGCAATGGATGCACTAAAAGCTCAGACTTCACCAGTACACAATATATGCATATAAGAAAACTTGTACCCCCTAAATATATTTTTAAAAGAAAAAAATAAAAATTTTTAAAAGAGACAAGCTGCACTCTTTACAGTTGGTACCTGCTTTCTTTTTTTTTTCCTGAGACTCTATAAAAGACCCCTGAATCAGTATACCCAAGGAGGTGTAAGTAGTTCGTAATTTTTCAGTAAGAAGAGAGAAAGTGAAGAAGGATCTGTGAGCAATGAAGTAACAATAGGGAAGACAATGATTAGAAACTTAGTCCACTTGATGATGGCAGTATTAGTTTTGTTTCGTACAGGAGACTGGCTGCAATCTTGAGACTTTCACTGGAAGGTGATACTTTCTATCTTCATCTTTCCAGCTTTCATCTCCCCATATTCTGTCATGTAAATTCTTATCCCTACTTCACCCACATGCTGAACCTTCCCTGACTTGTCAGTCAGTGGCACCACTTAGGAGGCTGGACACAGCTAGATCATTTACCTAAAACAGAAGACAGAGCACATTGTAAACAAAGATGCTGCCTGGCTTGACAATGTCACCAACTCAGAGAAATAATAATAATAATCTTATTATGATTTCTGAAGTCAACATGAGGCATCCTCTATGGCAACAGCCCCACAGCCTTCTGAATTACTAAATTTAAATCAGACAGAACTTAGGTTCTGAGAAGATTCTATCCAAGTGGGTAATACGGGACAAGAAAGAGATGCTCACCATTTTAAGGTTAAAAAAGTAATCCTGAATAGATTATTTTTCTATGTTAGAAAACAATGATAAAGCGTCCAAGAATTAGAACACTTTAAAAAAAAGATTTACTGATGGTAACAGATAATTTATTTTGGTATCTCAAATAAAATTCAAGGGAATATGAACTTTGGGCCCCAATAGATAAAGGTGAGATAAAATTGCTAAGTAAGTTGGGAACTGAATGAGATTAGGAAATGTATTTTTTTAATAAAAACATAATGCAGGTATGGGATTGCTGTTAGTAAAGAACAGAATCGACACTGCAGAAAGCTGGGCCAATAATGTAGAGAAAAACTTGAGAACTTCTGAAATGTCAAGGTAAGAGCCACAAAGAATGGAAGTTAAGATGGCAGGTGATGGAAACAGATGATGGAAAGCCAGTGTACACATAACAGGAGATTCTGAAAACAAGCAATCAGAAGAACATAGATAAAATTGGACTGCATCAAAGATCTCTGTCTCAAATCTTTGATTCTGAAAAATAGGTTTATGCTTTTTTTTTAACTTTTGAAATTCTTTTTTTTTAAGATATACAGGAGGATGTGTGTAGTTTTTTTTTTTAAACAAACTTTCTGAACTTAATAAACTTTGTTTTTTAAAGCACTTTTAATTTCACAGCAAAGTTGAGTGGCATGCAAGGAGAGTTCCCATATACCCCTATCCCCACAAATATTCACAACCTCCTCCACTCTCAGCATCCCACAGCACAGGGTTATGGAGTTTGTTACAGTTGAACCTACTTACCCAAGTTCACTGTTTACATTAGCGTTCAATCTTGCTGTACATTCTGGGGGTTTTGACAAATATGTACTAACATATCCCCCATTATAGTATTATAGAGAATAATTTCATTGCCCCTTGTAAGTCCTCTCTGTGCTGTGCGTATGTATTATTCCTCCTTCCCCTCTGTCCTGGCAACCAGTGATATTTCTACTGTCTCTATGGTTTTACCTTTTCCAGAAAATCATAGTTGGAATCATATACTATTTAACCTTTTCACACTGGTTTCTTTCACTTAGCAATGTGCATACAAGTTTCCTTCAGGTCTTTTCATGGCTTTAAAGACTCATTTCTTTTTAGCACTGAGTAATAGTTTATTGTCTGAATATACCATTGTTTATCCATTCACCTCCTCAAGGACATCTTTGTTGTTGTCAAGTTTTGGCAATTACGAACAAAGATGCTATAAACATCCCTGTGCAAGCTTTTGTGTAGACATGTTTTCCGTTCATTTGAACGAATAACGAGGAGTATAATTGCTGGATCAGATGGTTAGAGTATATTTAGTTTGTAAGAAACTTCCATACTTTTTGCCAGTAATGAATGAGAGTTCCTGTTGCTCCACATCTGTGTCAGTGTTTGCTACTGTCACTGTTTTGGATTTTGGCCATTCCAATTAAATTTCTGATGCTTCCTCAGTCTCTTTAATCTGTGGTGGTTTTTTTGTTTTGTTTTGTTTTTTACCTTTTAATGTGTTTTGAATTTTTTTGTTGAAAGGTGGCTGACATGATGTGCTAAGCAACAGGAACAGCAGTAAATAGGTCTTTAGTGATGTAGTGGTAAGGTATGGGAGAAGGAAGTATTCTGTAGTCCTATTATTAGCTCTCTTTCTTTTGGTAAGCTTGTGTCCCTGGGCTGTGAATATTTACCAGTGCCTCATTTTTAAAAAAATTATTATTATTTTTATTCTTTTAGGTTGGACAGAATAGCTAGAGGGGGCTGGAGTTGGGTATCTCCCTTCTCCCAGGTTGGCTAGGCAATGAAAAAGCCCGATAGTTTAGACTTTGGTAAGATAATTTCTCCTGATGACAGATTTTGTTAAGAAAAGAGTGTTCTAGTATATTTCAAAATGGTTAGTTACTGTCCCCACCACCACCACCACCACCACCCCAAAGCAGGAAAGAATTTTTCTCTGAAATTCCCTGTGGAAAACTCAAGAGCTCCTGGAGGTAAAAATGATCCCCTCCCCCCGTGACTGGGTACACCTTCAGTCTTTAACTTTTAGACTTACCTATGCTGAGTCTCCAGAAACTCACTACTTACAGTTTAGGTTTCCCACCCCAGTACTGGTTTCCAAGAGATGTCTGCTTGTGGGTTTCTGCTCCAGGGTGTTGTGATTTCTTTTTTTAATTTGCCTGCCTGTCTCTCTACTTTCGGGGGCAGCAATTTGCTCTGTGACCTCACTTCTCTGGCAGATCTGAGAAGAGTTGTTTATTTTTCAGTTTGTTCAGCTTTTTTTTTACTTGTTATTAGGACAGACTTTTTTTTTTTTGAGTTGGAGTCTCACTGTGGCCCGGACTGGAGTGCAGTGGCCGCTCCTGGCCACCGCAGCCTTGACCTGCTGGGCTCCGGCGATCCTTCCGCCTCAGCCTTCCAAGTAGCTGGAACTACAGGTGTGCGCTACCACGCCCGGCTAACTTTTTGATTTATTGTAGAGATGAGGTCTCGCCCAGGCAGGTCTCGAACCCGTGGTCTCAGGCAATCCACTCACCTCAGCCTTCCAAAGGCGTGGGATTACAGGCTGAGCCACCGAGCCTGGGTAGGACAGACTTCTAAGCTCCTGACATGCTGGACTAGACATTGGAAGTCAATAAAAATTCAGGTTTTGCTTTTTACCAAGTTAATGTTTACGAGGTGAGTATTTATAAATATCTTGGAGATTTTTAAACAATAGAATATTTACATTTTTACCATAAAATTATAAAATATAGCATAATTATAAGTTGCTAAAGGAATCGATGTAAAATTGGGAGATGTTTCTAGATGGGAAGAGCTAATATTATAAACATTTGCATTTCTCAGAATTAATTTGATTAATATTGTAGTACATACATATAATTATAATAAAAATTTCAATGAGTGATAAAAGGCTTCTGAAGTTAATGTGGAAGAATTTTTGGAGCTTTGAATTGCTATCTTTTAAAATATCGAGACACATAATTAAAACTAAGTACTATTAAAAAAATACATTGATCAAGAAAAAAGAAAGACATTCTATCCTGAATAAAATCCAAATACATGAGAAGTTTCATCTGGTAAATATGACATTTCCAATCCACATGGACAGTCTGCTCTGTTTAGGGACATTTGGTTAACTCTTTGGGGGGAGGGGGGAAGCTACCTAGTAGAATTACAGGTGGATTTGATTATTTATTTTCTATTTTTCTGAGTATGGATGCATTGCAAAATCAGAAAATATGATTTTTCAAAATACATTAAACTCTGGTGATTATCAATGAAAGGTTTTTTCTCTTTATAAAGACAATATGCTAATAATTTAGATAAATGGAAATTTGGTTTTTAGTTTCCACTTTTATTTCTTCCTTATAGTATGGTTTCTTTGGAATCCATGTTGTTAGTTAGTAGCAAAGTAATTCAACCACACCTTTAAAAATCATTTCTTCTTCCTGAGAGGACATACAGACTTTGGTAGGAACTTCTCTTGGAGAAGCTCAGATGCTGAGATGGTGAAGGTGTATCTGATGCAGCAGTCCTTCAGGGCTCGCTTTATTTCCTCTACCAAGCCATTTGTATCACTCAAATCTTTGTCTTTCTCTTACTTGAAATATCTCCTTCCAGCTGCCAGGCTGGTGATGGATGTGCTCTGAACACAGCTGCTGTAGAGATGGCAGATGAGCTGATTCCCACCAAAGTGCTTTCTCTTGAACCTTTGATAGACTTGGCAGCCTACAAAGGCATTCATTCAAGGGATCCTCTGGTGAAACCAAGCCAAGATGGTCTTTGAGCCCATTTTTTAATGCTTTGGGAAAATTATCACTTAGCCCCAGTTTCCTCATTTGTTCATTCAGCAAATAGTGATCAAGCCCCTACTGTGCTAAGCACTTTGAGACAGTGTTTGACAGACAGGTAAGATCCTTGACCTCTTCTTATCTACTGATCTAAAATTGGGAATTCACTACTTACCTAAGAAAGGCAAAGGAGAATTCCATGAAACATTGTGCCTGACACCTAGACTATTCTAGCATAGCATTGTCTAATCTGTGTTTAGAGCTCTCTAGAGAACAGATTTTCTCTTTTAACTCTGACTTAGTTCTGTTGCCTTATGTACAAGAACTCTTGAATGATGTTTCCAGCAATTGCTTGCCTGTCATGGATACTGAAAAGGAAACAGATTGCTCCTGCACATCCCAGTGTTCTTACTGAGAATAGGCTTAATTGGTAGTTGGAGAGACTGAGGGTTATGGGGTTGGTGCAGATTGCTCAAGGTTTCATGAAGCAGGCTATTCCTGAAGCATGTACTTGCCTACTTTCATGTATTTAGCATCCAGGTCAACTTTCCTGTGCTGTTTTCATGTTTACTTCAACCTGAACATATAGGCTCTTCCCTTCTCAACTCAACATCTCTTTAAGAATCTCCAGCCTAGAGCTGTTGAACAGGGAAGAGCCTTAGAGAGCATATGACTTGTGCAAGGAAGATCAGGGAAGTGACATACTCAAAAATACAGTTAATGACAGAGTCTACATTCTGTTCAAAATGAATTTTAATTATTCCATGGCATGAGTTTCTGTGGAACTGCAACTGTTCTCCTTGAAGGGCAAAACATTCCAGATTCCAATGCAGCATTAGGTCATTCAATACCATGGAGAGCTGAATGGTGAAGAATTGTTAACAGTATTAGATTTGTGTGCTGTGTTGGATGAGTCCAGACTTTGCCGAGTTTTGAGTCAGCAGTCCTCTTTCTGTGCACCTGTCTTATCCAAGCTTCCTCTAAACTGGTGCATTTCCATCTCTTTCCCATATGCTTGTGATCAACCAATCAGTATTGAGAATGAAGAAGAGAAGAAATAGCAGAATAAAAGAGCAACAGCACCAGTGTGTGCTTGGAGCTTGTTTCTGAACAAGGGCACAAGCTGTGGAGATGTATGGAAGAAATTTGTACAACAGCTTTGACTTTAACCCTAGTCATGGCCAATGTGTTAAAATCATTGGGGAAATGACTGACATAGGTGTTCTCTTCAAACTTACACAGTCTCCAGAGCTGTGGCTGGGAAATATGGAAATACCCGTGGGAAAAGTTAGTAATATATCAGGTATTATTAAGAATGAGATTCAAGGCTCTTTCTCCTGTGATGTCTAGACTTATGCTTTAGCCACTCTCCATTGGCTTTTGTTTCACCTTGGCTGTATATTTTACCTTGGACAGGACCAGCTCTCAGCTGACATGTACAGTTTTGTGGCCAAAGAAATTGACTATGCAAACTACTTTCAAACGGTAAGTTTTCAGAAAGGTGAGACTGCTTAGAGCCTGTTTGAGAGAGTCATGGTGTGAGCAGGAAAGGAATGTGGACATGGAACTGAGGGCCCTTGGTTGAGCACATCACAGAAAAGGGTGGGGCTTTGACCTTTTATCTATGACTAAATTTTGCCTTTTATTACTCATTTTATGGATTTCTTCAAAAACCTTGGAATAAAGTCCAACCCTGTCCCTGAGGATTATTGCAACTCAGCCTGATGGTTCTCAACCAGGAGTGATTTTGATCCCCCTAGATGACATCTGACAATATCTGGAGGCTGTTTTTATTGTCACAATTGGGGAGGGAGGTGCTACTGGCATTTAAAGGGTAGAGACCAGAGATGCTTCTAAATATCCAATGATGCCCAGGACAACTCCCACAACAGTGAATCATTCAGGCCAAAACGTCATTAGGACTGACATTGAGAAACCGCAGTCTATGATGATAACAAGGGTCTTGAGAAAAATAGGAAGATAAATCTTCTCCCTGCACATATTTTAAATCTAGATTTTTATCAAAGACAATAACAAGTAGCTAACTATTGATTGGCATAGCCTGTTTACCTGCCTCTCATCAGTCAAAGCAGATTTAGAGAATAAGAAACAGGAGCTGAGTCACCTAAACTTGAATAAACAGGTGTAGATAATAAGGACCCTGGCTGTTTACCAGGGTAAATGCAAGGCTAGCCAAAAAACTTTGAGATACAAATTTGAAAAATAGTTACACTCACAGGCTTTTAAAATTGGCAGTAAGTCTCTAAAACCTAAAAACTCTTCATTTGTGATCAGGGAAAGAAAGGAATGATAAAGAAGGTGGGTAGAGAGAGGAAAAACAAGGGAGAAATCCTGAAAAGTTTTAAATGCTTTGACAAGTATGATGGAACAGCTAACAGAAGTTTTCCAGCATTTTCATTAGGGTTCAGCAGTGTGGAGGAGTCCATTCTACCTTAAAAGGAGCTGGCACACATTACTTCCAACTTGGAAAATTTAAAGTTTTCGTATTTTTTTCAAGTGTATTTCACTGATTTTATTTATGAAGATAATATTTAGTTTTAGAATTTGTAAAGCTAATGAATTCATTGACATTACAAGCATTATCAGGCAGCCTAATTGTCATTTGTGTACCATTTATTTTAATATTTTGATTTTTAAAAATACCATATTAGTTTTACTTGGGGACAACAGTGTCTACTTTCTACAGCAAGCATTCAGTGTCACCTCCCCTTATACATACCCAATCTGGGAGAGGAGAGAAGAGGATTCAGAAAATAAATGAAGTAACTGTTGTTCATGGGTTTTTATCTGTTCTTACCAACATTTTGACTGTTTTTAATTAATGAGATGGTCAAAGTACACACTTTGATGAATTAGTGTTTTGAGTTGCTTCACTATGGCCAAAGCAATTTCACCTCCCAAGGTACTTGATGAGGATTGTGGATCAAGCCACAAGTCAAGTTCTCTGATCAGTTACATGCTAAACTAAAACCAAGATGTATACAGGTTAATGACATTTAACCTGTATATACTCCAGGGACAAATGAATTTCTTTAAAAAGTTGTTTGCTTGTTTGTTTGTTTTTCTTATTTAAAGAGATTAGGTCCTGTTATGTTGCCCAGGCTGGTCCTGAACTCCTGGGCTCAAGTGATTCTCCTGCCTCAGCCTCCCTAGTAGCTGGGATTATAGGCATGAGCAAATGAATTTCTAAATGTGTTTTCTATTTATATTCTCCTATGACTGCACCTCTATGTGTTGCCGTTTGCATTAAGGATGGGGTGCCAGGTAAGGCAGGGGATGAAGTCAACTCTTTAGGCCCAGTTTTGGCTTTAGGTAGGTCCCCCTGTTCCTTCATGGTATTCCTGTCTCTCAAATGTCCACTTGTGGTGACTTCTTTTTTTACAGAGGCTAAAGATGAAGCATGCCCATCGTTTTAGATACTTTGGAGGAGGGATTGGGGACCCCACCTCCTTCCCCTGTGTGTAGGCACCTTCCTGTAGAATGCTCTGCTTACCATGATAGCTTGTGTTCCCCACTCTTTAACAAAGGGTAATGCTTGCTCTTGTGTTTTCTCAGCTAATAGAAGTGCAAGCTGAATACCACAGGAAGTCCCTGACCCTATTGCAAGCTGTGTTGCCTCAGATCAAAGCACAACAGGGTAAGTGCAGACCTTCCTTAGAGAGGGAAGGACTGGGGAGCCTACATGCCTTCTCAAGTGAGACCAGCTTTCTGTGTGTTGTTCAGCTTTATGCTTTGCCCAATAGGGTCATCTTTTAGATGAGCCATCTGGATTTTCCAAACTTGATGCCTTGATTCAGCTACAATAACATAAAACACACTCACACACACTTCCCTGTCCACAGGGTTGAGTCAGGTGTGTGGAGGTGACTGTGTAACATTAACCCTGCAGCACTGGATGCAGCTGACTGACCGTCCACCCTCTCCTGTCATTCCTGTCATTCCCAAAAAGTCACAGAATGGAGGTGCAATCGAACCTTCATCTCTTTGGTAATCTTAGGAGAATCTAGATGACAAGAGGAAAGGAAGATTCCTGCTTGAGTAACCTTCCTGAGCTACTGACCTACCCTTTTTGCTTCTCTTCCTCAGAGGCTTGGGTGGAGAAGCCTTCCTTCGGGAAGCCCCTAGAGGAGCATCTCACCATCAGCGGCCGGGAAATTGCCTTCCCCATCGAGGCGTGTGTGACTATGCTGCTTGAATGTGGGATGCAAGAGGAGGTAGGACTGAGCAGGCCACACCCAGCCTGAGCCTCCTCTCCCACGACACGGAGCCTACAGGATCATCTCTCCTGTGTCATCCCCACTCTAGCCCCCACAAATCTAAATCTTTTAAGATAGTGGTAGAGCTCCTTCTCCTGTGGAACACAGATTGGCGCTGCCTTTTCCCACGAGTCTTCGCTTTTCAAGGCGAGTGGAGGATTGTGAGAGACTGATAGTGTCTGGCTATGAAAAATGAATGGCCACATTCTAGCCATTCTGTCCTCATATTTAATATGATTTGATGATTTAGGCATTCTGTTCCTGCTGCTACTACTACTTTTACTTCCATATTTTTTTTTTCAGCTTTCTCCACAGTGTGTCAGATGTCTTCTACTTCCTTCTCCTCTTCCTCTTCCTTTTTTCTTCATCTTCCTTGTCCTCCTCCACCTTCTTTTGCTAAATAAGTTACTTGCTTTTTAGAATTGAACTCTTAACCTTCTGGATCACAGCTCTTTTAAAAAGATCCTGAAAATATGATTGATAGACACATTAGCAAGTACTTTTTAAACTTTTTTTTTTTTTTTTTTTTTGAGTTGGAGTCTCACTCGGTCGCCCAGACTGGAGTGCAGTGGCTGCTCCCAGCCACCGCAGCCTCGCCTGCTGGGCTCCAGCGATCCTTCCGCCTCAGCCTTCAGAGTAGCCGAATTACAGGCACGCGCTACCACGCCCGGCTGATTTTTTGATTTATTATACAGATGAGGTCTCGTTGCCCAGGCGGGTCTCGAACCCGCGGGCTCAGGCAATCCACTCACCTCAGCCTCCCAAAGGCGCGGGATTACAGGCTGAGCCACCGAGCCCGGCTAGCAAGTACTTTTTAAAAGCCGCCTGTAACAAAGTTCTACAAGAAATTGGTGGCAACTGTTGTTTTATTGCTGTGTAAATCATTTCCTGGGAAATAGATCTCATCCTTGTTTTTTTCCATAGGCTAACATCTTTTTTTCCATATTCCTTAGATCTGATCAGCCAGTCAATATTTATTTAGGGCATGCTATGTATTTCAACTGAGGAAAGTGTAAAAGAGTGCAATAGGTGACTTTTAAACTTACGGGGGAGCTGAGTCTAGCATCTCTCACATAAGCCTGATTCATCCAAAACAGGCTGTAAGTCTTTAAGTGAGCAAACTAAGGACTGGGGGACAGAAAGAAGCCAGCGAACATGCAGGTGTGTGTTAGAGACTTCCCATAAGCCAAAACCTGTTTTAGATGCTGGATATATGAAAAGGAGAGGAAATAAATTTTTTTTTTTTGGACCAAATTTTATATACCAGGCATTTTCATGTTTATCATCAATTTCAAAATGAGAAGATCTCTACCATCCCTGAGAGATAGTTTCATGGAAGGAGGTGAACTAGGCCTTTTCTTTCTTCATTAATTTTTTTTTAATTATGGAAAACCAAAACCATATAAAGACAAGATAATGAGCCTCATCACTCTGTTTCTGGTCAATCTTCTTTTATTTCTACCTCCATTTCCTGCTCTTTAATCCCTGCCTTGAATATTTCAAAGCAGATCCCAATCATTTATAACATTTTATGTATCTCTAAAAGAGAAGGAACATTTTAAAATATAACTATAATCGCATCATCATGTCCAAAGAGTAACAACAGTTTTTTAGTGTCATCAGATGTCGAATCAGCATACACTGGTTCTTGGAGAACAGCCTCTCTGACGCCTCCCATCGTGTCTCTTCACTCTCCTGTCTCTGCCTTCCCTGGACCATTTTGCCTCCTGCCAGACCTCACTTTCTCACTTGCATTTTTCCCTACTCTGTATCAGCTCTTTTCCTTTAATAACACCTAAGCTCATGTTTCCCCTTGCCTAGAAAACAGTGTCTCCTACAGCTGTACCTCGTATTCCTTCCCTAGCATTTTGGTTGTGCTTCTTATGCTACCCAGTTTCTTAAATAGCTTTCCACATTTGCTGCTCCTGTGTCCTTACCACCATTCGCTCATCTTCTTCCTGTGGTATTGCTTCTATCCCGCCACTGGGCTAAAACTGCCCTCAGTTATCCCCAGGGACCCCTGATTGCCATAGCTGAGAATTTGATCCCAGTCTCCTTGGCCATGTCACTACCTGGTGTTACTAATGCAACTGTCCTTGAAACTAGGGTTCCCTCTGCCCCCAGTGCCCTCTTGCCTCTGACCACAGGGCTTCAGGGTTCACTGTTCATCACCAGCATCCCACCCTGTCCTCCTCCTAGAGCTGTGCCTGAACCTCTGTGAGGAGTCCTCCCCTGGAAGAGCTCCACTCCGTGTTTGCTGCCTTTCTTCAACATTTCCACGCAAACTTTCCTCCAACGTCCCTAAAACTGGACTCACTAGCTATCTTAACAGTCCCTTCCTTATCCTGGTTTTTATGCTTCTCTCAGTTTCACAATAAAACCTCTAAAAGCTTATATTTGACAATTCCATTTCCTTCTCTTTGGCATTGCCCATCACCACATCCTGTTGATTCTTCTTGCATTGCAATGGCATGATCTTATGAAGATCTAAGCCGCTGGTTTAATGTGCTCTGTAACTTACAGTCTTTGTCACAGCAGCCTTATTGGTAACATTCACCCGTACATGTTTATGTAGTTTCCTCACATATATGCCAAAGAACTTGGCACATCTGTTTATCCAACATGCCCTATATTGTGAAGAGAGTTAGTGATCCTAGCAGGTTGTAAACTCAGTATTCCAGACCAGGGACATTTTCTTCCAAAGGAACTTATAAGTCTGAATAGCCATAAAAGATTAAAGGAGTAAGAAATATCCGCCAGCTTATTTCTCAGCCTGTGGGTTGTGTCACAGAATGCAAGGAGAAGGGGAAACAGAAACCGGTAGATGTTTAACCCATGTCTAACTTATCTGTAACTTGGAAGTTTCTTCCCAACTCTGACCAACATCTGTCATCTCTTCCACACAGCCCTCCTATTCTCTTCACTTTCTCTTCATAGCTAACTTTTGTTCTATGAGGTACAGCAGCTTACTTGGTAGAGGCAGCAGTGATTTGAAAGCAACTCTTGAGAATGGAAGATGGAGGAGCCTAAGGAGGCTCTCTCACCGGCCTTCCCCAGTCTGCCCTTTCCCTGAGGACATAGACCTTATTTGATTCTAGAAGAATAGCCCCAGTGTCTCCCAACATACACACATGCAGACACATACACACAGAGACACATACCCTGTAGACTTCACATTCAACTTATTGGACCTGAATGTTTGAGCAGTCAGTTCTTCAACATTTATCTTCAGTATACAAGAATAAGAAGTAAGAATGCCCAAGGTTCATTTATCCAGCAGGTACTTACTGAACCAGTGTGATATGCCAGCCCTGCACTAGGCCCTGGGACACAACAGTGGATCGAGTCTACTTCTTGCTCTTAAGTCGTTCATGTCTGGTGGGGGAGACATTTAAAGAACAGGCAGCTACAATATTGGGAAATAGTATAGGGCAAAGGCATTCAAGAGATTTTGGAAAAAAGAAATGGGTAGACTTGCAGTCTGTTGTTTTGCTCTCGTGCCTTGGAGTTGCTGTCCACTGACCCTCTGTCCTGTCTGCAGGGACTTTTCCGAGTAGCTCCCTCTGCCTCCAAGCTGAAGAAGCTGAAAGCTGCCCTGGACTGCTGCGTGGTAGATGTGCAGGAATACTCGGCAGACCCCCATGCGATTGCAGGTGGGCACCCGGAGCCTCTTGGCAAAGTACTTCTCTGTGCTTTAGAGGCTCACAGGGAAGGGGTGAGTGTGGAAACTGTGTGGTTGCATGTCTGGGACACTTGAGCCAGTGGACACCCGACATCCTTCAACTGTGTTCACTCAGAGACCGGTTGCCATGGCCCCTTAAAGAAAGGCCTCCCCAGCATGCCAAGGGAAGGTGAAGTGATAGAGGGAAATAAGGCCAGTGTGGCTGTTACCCCGGGTCCCCCATCAGAGCCTCATACCCATTCTCATGGGACACCACCACTTGCTCTTGGCTGGTGGTCAGGGAGGTCCATCCTAGATGGAACTCATGTGGGCAGTGCTGGCGGGTGGATCTTATCTCTGTCATGTTATAATGGCTCATGGCCAATATTGTATTCATGCCCAGGAGCTTTGAAATCTTACCTCCGAGAGTTGCCGGAACCTCTTATGACCTTTGAACTCTATGACGAGTGGATTCAGGCTTCCAAGTGAGTACACCTTATTTTGGAGTATCTTGTGGGTTGGAATTTATTTGGAAGTGTATATCGAAATAATGTAAGCATACCTACGGCCGTATCACCCTGAACACACCTGGTCTCATCTGAAATGATGAAGCACGCAACCTATGATTTAGTAACTTTATTTCTTGGTATTTATCCTGAAGGAATGCTTGTATGTGTGCTCAAGGAAGCATGTATGAGGATGTTGATGGTAGTATTATTTGGGATAGCAGAAGCCTAGAAATTACATAAAGTGCATTGGGGAAGGATGGTGGGTAGTGGCTAAATAAACGATGGTGTTTCTGTACCTTGGCATACTCTGGAGCCATTAAAAAATAGAGCTACTCATGCCAAATGAAAAGATTTAGAGATTTATTGTTGAGTGAAATAAAACAAGTTAACAAGGATACCTATGGTATTGTATTGTAAAAAAAGGAAAATAAACGCCCAACACAACCAAAAGAATAGAATTTTAGGAATGCCTCTATATGTAAATGCATAGAAGAAGGTTCTAGAAGGTTCACAAAGGTCGGTGGCAGTGATTCCTCCTGGGGAGAAAGGTAGGACAAGGGAGTGGGTCCTCATCTGTAATAGCTACAAAAATTTTAACAGCTCATTAATAACAAACATAAAAGCATGAGATGTGAACAGTAGGTGCTGTCCCTAATCCTGAAGATAAACCTGAGGGAGAGGCCACAGCCTGATGAAAGGTCCAGGACTCCAGCCGCGTGTCAGGAAGGAGGAGAATACAGAACAGGCAGCTGGTGCTAAGAGCAGGGGAAGCCATAGCCCTGCCACATACTGTGGCTTCTGTGTGTCGTTTTCCTCTTTGATTCCTGCCTTCTTTCCTCAGTTTATGCATGTGGGAGGATAGTATTATATCTCCTCTTTGGCCGTAGGTTAGAGCTGACTTAAGTAAATGCTGTCGTTTGAAGGAATACTTTTTTACTGAACTAATGAAAATGTCTAGTGAGGAATCAGGCACCACCAGGGTGGGAGAATTGACCCCATAGGGAGGGTGATGGAGATGAGGATGGAGGTAACTCAGACAGAAGAGGTGAAGGAGGGAAGAAAATGTTTTAGGAGAGCAGGACTGGAGTGAATCCTTTGCAAGGTGCTCCTGAAAGGAAGTGAGTTCTAGAGATCACTAGTTGTGGGATTCAGATATAATTCCCTGAGTTACATCTTGAAAGATCAGATTTCCTTATGTCTACATTGAGTTGATATAATTTACTTATTTAGAAAGTATCTACTGAGTATCTGTTATGTGCTAGATGCGAAGGAACTTAATGTACAGTAAAAAAAAATCCATTGGACTGGACTGCAGGCTTCCATGATGTGAAAGCAGGACCAAGTTTCCTGATATACATCCTGTGTCCTCCTGACAACCCCATAACCCCACCACACCAGAGAAGGTCTCTGACCTCTGCCTTCACCTGCTACCTTGTCACATATCCACTTGCGAAATATATGTGCAGAAGTTTTGTTAAAATAGCATAGGACAAGACAGAAGAACATAGAGGGGGAAATAATAATAACCAAATTTTTTAATAACTGCTTGCTGATATGGTCAGTTACAATGGTTAACTCCTTATTGTCAAATATTATGATTGGCTTATATGACTGCCAGTGAGAGTTCATAGATTCATGCTCAACCAATGACTTTTCCTATCAATTTCCCAGTATCCAGGAACAAGATAAGAAACTTCAGGCTCTGTGGAATGCTTGTGAAAAATTGCCTAAGGCCAATCACAACAACATCAGGTAAGTGGAGACTTGGAGACACATGGCTTAGGCTTACCGAAGCCCCAGACTCACCATTTCCTGGCTAAAAGTCATGATCAGTAGCATGCAAGGCATTTTATAATGCTCAAGGTATTGTTAACAAGCATGGTCTTTGTTAAACCTCGAACCACCCTGTGAGATAAGGCAGGAATCATTTTATTACCATTCTGCAGGTAAGGAAGCAAACTTTTTTTTTTTGAGTTGAAGTCTTACTCTGTTGCCCAACTGGAGTGCAGTGGCATGCTCCCGGCCACCGCAGCCTTGACCTGCTGGGCTCCGGCGATCCTTCCGCCTCAGCCTTCCAAGTAGCTGGAACTACAGGCGCGCGCTACCATGCCCGGCTAGTTTTTGATTTATTGTAGAGACGAGGTCTCGCCAAGTTTCCCAGGCGCATTACGAACCCATGGGCTCAGACAGTTCTCTCCCCTCGGCCTCCCAAAGTGCTGGGAATACAGGCTGAGCCACTGAGCCCAGCCAAAGACGCAAACTTAAAGAAGCTATCTGACTTTGGAAGCTACCTAACTGGCCATTGGCTAATTCAGTTAAGTTTTTTGTTTTGCAAGAAACAAAGATTAATGCAGGCTATCTTACAGTGTTGGGGTTTTATGGTAAAGACAGGTGTTCATAGACACCTGGGAGAAGCTGACTGACTTGAGAGCTGGAGGAAGCAGAGGTGTCCTTGCTCAAGTACACAGAAGGAAGAGGGGAGAGGGAATCTTTTCTCCAGTGTTCCATTCATGAGACCCAGCTGTTTTCCTCATTTGCCTGTCACTGTTCTCGCTCCACCAGAGATTTTACTTCCCCGGCGCTACAGAGTTTTCCCCTATGCCTGGCTCCTGCCACTTTACACTCTCTGCTTCTTCATCGCTTTATCTTGCCAGCGCTCCTCCTGGCCCTGGCACCTTCCTTCCCTGCTTCTAAGAGTACAGATTTTCAGCATCAGCACCTGCTGCCATCCGCCTGATTATTTCTGTTTTCCTGCTAAAAATCCCAAGAGCAACGGTGGGGTGGGTCCTTAAAAAAAATTAAGCCTTGAATTCCTATAAGAACCAGCAGTTCCTCTTTGGGGTGTACGCTCAAAAGAACTTAAAGCAGAGACTCGATATTTGGATACCCATGTTCATAGCAGCATGATTCATAATACCCAAAAGGTAAAAATGTAAATGTTCATCAATGAGTAAACGGATAAACAAAATATGGTATATTCATATAGTGGAATATGAAATTTTAATTCTTGCCACAGCGTGGATGAACCTTGGGGACATTATGCTATGTGAAATAAGCCAGACAAAGAAGGACAAATGCTGTATGATTCCATGCATATGAAGTACCTAGAGCAGTCACACTCACAGGGAAAGGAAATAGAACGTTGGTTGCCAAGGGCTGGTGGAGAGGGGAATGGGGAGGTTATTGTTTAATGGATATGGCGTTCAGTTGGGAAAGATAGCAATATTCTGGAGATGGATGGTGGTGATGGTTTTATAACAATGTGAAAGTCTTTAATGCCACTGAATTGTACACCTAAAGATGGTTAAAATCATAAATTATATATATATTTTACCAAATTTTTAGAAAAATCCCAAAAGTGAGAATTGGGTTGGTATAACTCATGGCATGTTGCTGACTGTAGCCCAAGGCCACTGGCCAGTCCATGGATTGACTGTTCTCACCTTAGGTCCCACGTCCTGTTCCAGTCCTGTGTGGTGTCTTGGAGGGTGAGGCATGGTTAGGAGAGACTTAGGGTGGAGTTGTCACAGTGACAACAAAGTGACTACATGGTAGGATGTGAATCTGCTGGACTTTCTACTAGACTGATAGAAGGTGAGCAACACCCAAAAGAGTTGCTTCACTAAGATTCAAGCAAAATGGGGTTGAGACCATAGCCTTTTGTAACTGAGAGTTCAGGAGAAAACATGTGCCTCTGGCAAGTACTGCAGCTTCTTGTCTGGGTCTGGTAGGTTTTTAGTATGGTTTGCCAAAGCTATTCTTTTGTGATTAACTTATGGATAGTTTCTTTATTAGCTCTTTTAAAAAAATAATAACTTTATTGAGCATACCATTGCACCATTTTAAAGTGTGCAATTTAGTAATTTTTAGTGAATTCATAGCTTCACAAGTATCACTACTATCTAATTTTAGAACGTTTCCATTACCCCAACAAGAAACCATGTTCCCAATAGCAGTCACCCCTCATTTCCCCCAACCCTGTCCCTCGCAACCACTAATCTTTCTGGCTCTATAGATGTGTCTATTCCGGACATTTCTTAAAAATGGAATAATATGCGTGACTTTTTGTGTCTAGCTTCTTTCACTTAGCATAATGTTTTCAAGGTTCATTTATGTTGCTGGATGTCAAGACTCCACTCCTTTTTGTGGTTGAATAATATTCTATTATATGGATATACATTTCATTTATCTGTTCATTCCTTGGTGAACATTTGGATAGTTTCACTTTTTGGCTATTAGAAATGATGCTGCTGTGCACATTCATGTATACATTTGTTTATGGACATATTTCTTTTGGGTATATCCCTAGGAGTGGAATTGCTGGATCATATGCTCAGTCTATATTGGACTTTTTATTTATTGGCTCTTTCTAGAAAGCCCAACTGAGAGTAATTCCAGGGGACATTACCCCCTAGCATGCAGATGTCCCTGCCAGTAATACCTAGACATGTTGTTTATTACTTCTGCACACAAGGAGGATGGCAGGTGATGGGGTTTGAAAAGGGGAAAGAACTTTTAGGTCATTATATACTGGGTCAAGAGGAAGGGCGGGGACTTTCTGTCCTGTGTTAGTTGAAGCAGCTGTTGATATCTAACCGAGTGAGATCTGAGTGTATTTGGTTTGGAAAGAAAATACGGAACTCTCATTTTCTGGCATGTGATGCATCTTCATTGCATCAAAGGATGCACGAGTCTCGTTGTCAGTAAGATGTATGACATGAGAGAAGTTTTTACCCAGTCCTGGGGGAGAATGACTGGTGTTAAGCCCTGGTTAAACCCAGCTCTTCTACTTTCCTTTCAGATACTTGATCAAATTTTTGTCCAAGCTGTCAGAATATCAAGATGTAAACAAGATGACTCCCAGTAACATGGCAATTGTTTTAGGACCCAACCTCCTATGGCCACAGGCGGAAGGGTAAGTACAGAGATGCCATATGGGTAATGCAGGTGGGGCTGCAGGGCCTGGGCAGGGTGAGCAGAATAGCCTAGGTTCAGTAATCACCAGCCTCATTTATTTTTCAAGTCCTATTTCTGTCATGGCCTGTTCCTTTTTTAGACTGAGGAGGAGACACAGAGTTCTGCAGGTTTTATTGTTGTCGTTGATGGTCTGAGAACTACAGGTCTGAAGTAAGGGTCTTCTCTGAGCTCATGCAAGTCAGTGCCAGGATGAGGGGAAGGAGGCCCAAGGGACATGATGGCACAGACAAGGCAAGCTCTTTCAGGTCCTCCTAACACTCTATGATACCAGCATCAGGACTCAGAGGGATAGAGGACTGTCTCCAAAGAGAGCAGAGTTGGAAAGAGGATGAACTTAGCAGGGATGAGAATCCCACCTCTTGTTGAAAGTGCTCTCATGGGAATTGTTCATTTGCCCTGTGGCTATACTCATTCTGTAGATGGAGAAGGAAAAGCTCAGAACATCGGAGGTTCCTTCCGAAGAGAAAGCCTGCTCTCAAAACTCCATCTGCAGGGTTCTAGTCTAGGGCCTCTTCCCAAACTCTGTGGCCAGGGGATTATGGGCCTCTCTCCCTGTTTCGGCTGGTAACCCCACCCTGTCCTCCTCTACTCTGTGCTTACAGGAACATTACGGAGATGATGACCACAGTTTCACTGCAGATTGTTGGGATCATTGAACCCATCATCCAGCATGCAGACTGGTTCTTCCCTGGGGGTATGTGGCAGCATCTAGGTATGGGGGCAAGAGGCTGGGAGCAGGAATATCACTAGAAGTTCCAAACCTTTGAAACCAAGTATCACTGCTTACAGATTTTTGTTTGTTTTGTTTTTAATCCACCTACATGTGTACTCATCCACCGACACACACCCACAAATGCTCCCAGGTATCAGGGTAGTGCCGTGGCAGCTTCCTACTCAGGTACCTGTAGGAAGTACCTGATTCAAGTGCAGTTCTGGGGTGAAGGTGTCCACTGTCTGTACTAATCATGTAGAATCCATGGATTCTACTGGTCTAATGTGTACTCCATAGTTTCTTCAAATCTACAAATCATGGACTACTGGTACAGAAGGAGAGATCCTTTACTCTAGGCCCTTTATAGATATATAGAAAGAGCCTGAGGCCTGAGGTGGACATGGACTTTGACTCAGGGCTTAGGACACCTGAGTGTCTTATAGATCACCTTTTGATGACCTAAGCTGTGCCCTTTGAGTTGCCTCTCAGCATGTAAAGGTGGGGCTCAAAGACAATAGATTCTTTTTTGTTTTTTGAATCAAGGTCTCATTTGTTGCATAGGCTGGAGTGCAGTGGCATGATCATGGCTCATTGTACCTTCGACCTCCTGGGTTAAAGCAATCCTTCTACCTCAGCCTTCCAAGTTGCTGGGACTACAAGACATGTGCCATCACTTCTGGCTAATTTTTTTTTTTCAATTTTGTGTAGAGATAAGGTCTTGCTATGTTACCCAGGCTGATCTTGAACTCCTGGGCTCAAGCAATCCTCCTGCCTTGGCAACGAGATTCTTTTAATGCCTGCTTCAAAATTAGGCTCTCAAGGAAGCTTCCTAAGAGGAAATATCAGAAATGTTCTGAGCCATTGAAGCTCCATTCCATAAGATGACTCTCAACAGTGACAGCTTTGAGGAGACAACAGTTGTTATACTAAATTCAATGTTTGCTTTAAAAAAAATGGTACATTGCTTTATGTTGAGTAGACATTAAGAGAATGCGTTTGGCTGTGCGACAACAGCGATTAAAGCATGTGAGGGTAAATTATTAATAATTTTATATCTATCCAGCAGAGGCAATGAGTTATTACTGATATAACATAGAAGTTTGACTATCTTTGCTTCATGTGTTTTGACTGAAAACTCTGAACTACTGATTTCTTAAAGGTTCTATTGATGACACAGAGTTGGGTGAGTATAGGAAGTCAAGATAAAGGAATAAAGGAGATAGACATTGAAGGCAGTATTCTGTAGGTTCTGTGAATGAGTTAATTCACTACCACTGCAGACAGACAGAACTATGTCGAGCTAATTTATTCTCATTGACTAGGAAAGGATGGGATTTGATAGCCAACAAACACTTTTAATGAATTTTCTTTTTATTTCTAACATTTTACATTTACTCTTTGGTTTTCCAGAAAGACAATTATCATCATCCACAAATATTAATGTTGTTGCCCCTTATTTTATTCTCTTGACCAATTCTACTGGCTAGCATTTCTCAAATAGTGTTAAATAACAGTGGTGATAGTGGGCATTGCCATTTTTCTTGATCCAATTAGCTTTGGGCTTTCACTATAAAGCATGAGGTTTTAGAAAGATGATTTTGTCTATTTCAGAAAGTATCCATCTCTTTCTGTTTTACTAAGTTTTTTAAAAATCACAAATGAATATTGCTTTATTAAGTACTTATCCATGTGACCACTTACATTCTCTTCTTTGACTAATTAATGTAATGAATTATATTAATATGATGAATTAATATTCACATATACCAATTCTTTCTTCCCACAGAGATAGAGTTCAACATTACAGGCAATTATGGGAGTCCAGTGCACGTGAACCATAATGCCAACTACAGCTCAATGCCCTCCCCAGACATGGATCCTGCTGACCGGCGCCAACCCGAGCAGGCCCGCCGGCCCCTCAGTGTTGCCACGGATAACATGATGTTGGAATTTTATAAAAAGGATGGGTATGAACTGATGTCCCTTTCTCAGCATTGGGGATTGGGGGAAACTGGTGAGGGGATGGGTTAGGTGTAAGAAAAAGAGAATTACAGGAAGGCTGCACTGACTCTCAGCAGTTTAGGTGACTTGTAGCAATTAAGCTAAAATAATTTAATTACTAATTAAATCATTCTTGGTGCTTTCATCCACATTGTCTGGGATGAGTTTCTCTGGTTTGCTTCTCTTTGGGCCAGAGGTAAGGGCAGCCTTCTTAGCTGACACAATTGTAATCAGTTTTCATCAAATTAGTTTTCATCAAAAGAAATGAAAGTTGAAGCAAGGGAAATTTTTAAAAATATATAAATACTTTGTTTGGAATCAGAATGTATGTGCATTTATCAATTCCTGAATTAGTGACTTTATTTTGATTATAGATTTACTCATTTGCATTCTTTAGAAGCATTCTTGCATAAATGACACCTAGTTTATCATTAGTTTCAGTTTCTTTAAAATGAAGAGGAGGAAACCTTGAAGCAGTCTGAGTGTCAAATCCTTCTAGATTTTAAAGATGTTTTCCTATATTTTATTATTAACATCCATACCTACTTCGGTGCAGTTGTTTAAGAGACTCATAAATGAATTCGCCTTATTTTCCATAGGAACAACCCTTTCCACACTCATATTAAATCAGGTTACATAATCTTTAACTGCTTAATATGATCCATAACAAGTAAAATGGGCATGAACAGGTTTCCTTAAAAGCACAGTGGACTCACGGTAAACTCCAACTCAGCTCTGACAACCAGCCAGCTACAGGCATCAGTGAATATGTCTTACAGAAGGAATGGGTTGCATTGGTTGGCCAAGCAAGTCAGTTAAGTAAGCTTTGGTTAGGAGTTAAAAATTGTTACTATAGGCCGGGCTTGGTGGCTCAGCCTGTAATCCCAGCACTTTGGAAGACCGAGGTGAGTGGACTGCCTGAGCCTGAGGATTTGAGACCAGCCTGGGCAACTTGGCGATACCTCATCTCTACAATAAATGAAATAAATTAGCCGGATGTGGTAGCACGCGCCTGTAGTTCTGGCTACTTGGAAGGCTGAGGTGGAAGGATCACTGGAGCCTAGCAGGTTGATGCTGGGGTGGCCATGAGTGTGCCACGGCACTCCAGCCTGGGCGACGGAGTGAGACTCCAATGCAAAAAAAAAAATTGCTACTATAAAATAAAAGTTAGCAGCAGCTCCAGGATAGATGTGAGTATAAAGCATTGGATGGGAATATCAGAAATGCAGCAAAAGGAGTAAAACTACCACAACTTTCCCCTTTCCTGATAAATGACTGGGCGGCCAGAAAGATCTTTTGGAAAGGTCCATGGCCTAAAGGGCTTAGGAGGGAAGACTGAAAATCCAAGAACTGTAGAGATGCCTGAGTCTTAATTTTTTTTTTTTTTTTTGGCATTGGAGTCTCACTCTGTCACCCAGACAAGAGTGCAGTGGTATGCTCCCAATCACTGCACCCCCAACCTGCTGGGATCTGGCAATCCTTCCGCTTCAGCTTTCCAAGTAGCCGGAACTATAGGCACGTGCTACCACCCCTGGCTAGTTTTTGATTTATTGTAGAGACGAGGTCTCGCCAAGTTGACAGGGTGGGTCTCGAACCCGCGGGTTCAGGCAATCCTCTCGCCTCAGCCTCCCAAAGTGCTGGGATTACAGGCTGAGCCACCAAGCCTGGCCCTGAGTCTTACTTTTGACCCCTCTTATTTCTAATGGAAACTGGTATTGGAAACTGAGTTGGCTGAGGAGACCTAGACCTGTTTTCTGGGATGATGGTGTAGTCTTCAAAATGGCCAGTATCCCTTCTTTTGTTATACGTATGAGAAACAGTTTGTGTGCGATGCAGGTAGGGGTTACTTATGTACCCTGTGCTGATGTGTGCTGTTCTTTATCTAGTGGGAAAAGAAAAAACAGAAATTCAAGTGAGGAAGGGAAAATGTCTTAAATCTATAAAAAGGAGCATACTTAGAATCCGAGAGAGAGAGAGAGAAAGACAGAGACAGAGACAGAGAGAATTACAAAGTGCACTGGAATTTGTTTTTAAATCTCATTCTAAGTAACTCAGTTCTTTTGTGAAATCTTTGTAAACTGAGAGGATGCTCATGAGGATAAATTTTGGTCCTGGCTGGGTTATAGAGAATTCCTGATATTTGGTCCCTAGTGTTTCTGCATCAAATTTGCTCTTACATCCTCCCTGCCAGACCTGGTCTGATTTCTTGTAGCCCCTGAAAAGCAATCCAGATGGCCTCTAAGAAAGAGTTATCACTGCATAAGCATTGGGGTTTTTAGAGTCTGCCAGCCCACTATCTGAAGACAGATGCAGAAGCTTGAATGATATTTTAAGCAGATGCTTCATCTCTGATAAAGTTCTCTTGCTTAAGAATTTTGTAAATGATATGCTCATTCTGTATAATATTCTGATTTAAAGGTGAAACTATCACCATCTACTTTAAGAGTGTAGGAGATTGACTACATAATTATTGTTCATAAAATCAAATATATTTTATGCTTTTAAAACTTGTATTAAATATTAAATTTAATGACATTCTTACTGGGTTAGGGTACCCCTCTCTGAGTTGTCTGGGGTTTATTGTCTGTATATAAGTTTTAAGGTACAGTAAGAAGAAAGGAATTTGCATCTGGTGAGTCCCTGGATTATCTTAGCAATATTAGGATAATTTTCTACCTTTGTTTCCATTTCTGACCTTTTAAAATCTATGGGGACACATTTTAAAGTCTTCAAACTGTGCATTGAAACACTGACCAATTAAAGCTTATTGAAGTTTCATGGCCAGGTTAATAAAAGAACAGATATATTAAATTATATATCAATAAAGCCATTACATTTTTTAAGAAGAAGAAAATTGGGAGCAGATAAACTGGATAAAATTTGAAAGAAATGATAAGTTCCCCATCTGCATCAGTGACATTTTCCTGGGCTGACAGTTATGTTCTAGACATTATACAAAGTAGTCTACTCCCATCGCAACTCTGGGCTTTGGACCTGAATCCTTTCTGATTCATAATGACATAGGAAGCTGAGTTTCTTTAGGGAGTTCTGGGATCAGATTTAGGAGCTCATGTATACAATTTTGATCATTGTAGTAGGGTAAAATATTGCCCTCCTCTCCTCGAAAAAGGTCAGTTCCCAAAGCCTAGAACTTGGACATAATGCCTTATTTGGAAAAAGGGTCTTTGAATATGTGATTAAAATAAAGATCTCGAAAGGAGATTTTTCTGGATTATCAAGGTGGGCCCTGCACGATATCATATGCATCCTTATAAAAGAGAGACAGAGAGAGAGTTTACTACACATAGAGAAGGGGTTGTGAAGGTGGAACCTAGAGAAGATGATGTGGCCACAAGCTGAAGAATGTCGACAACTTCCAGAAGCTGGAAGAGGCATGGATGGATTCTACCCTAAGCTTCTGGAGGGAGCACAGCTCTGGTGACGCCTTTAATTTTAGCCTGGGGATACTGATGCTGGACAAAAGAAATTTCTGTCAATTACCAAATTTGTGGTGCTTGTTACAGCCACCACAGGAAGCCAATACAACCATCTACTGCCCCTACACTCCAGAAGCTTTGTGGGAAAGATGGCAGCAGATACTTTGCTTGTCTTCCTATGGAGCACTGGAATCTAATTGCCCTTCCTCCAAATCTGAGTTGCCTTCGTGATCCCCTTGACTGATAGGAAGTGGCAGCAGTGATGCTCTGGGACGTTGAGGCTAGGTCAGAGGAAGCCTTGTAGATTCCTCCTGGGTCTCTGGGGACACTCACTCTTGGAGCTACCATACTGCATCGAAGTCCAAGCAGCCCTTTGGAGAGAGATTGAGGCCCTAGCCATTAGCCCCATCTGAGCGCCAAGCTGAAAGCCAGCACAACTTACCAGCTCTGTGAGTAGTCATCCTGGAGTCATCACCCAAGTCAAACCACCTCAGCCAATACTGTGTGGTGCAGAAAAACCATCCTTGCCAAGTCCTGCCAAAACTGTGGATTTGTGACCAAGATAAATAATCTAAATTTTGGGGTGATTTGTTTCATAACAAAGATAGCCAGAGCAGACGTTTTTTTAAAAAAGATACTGATGCTTTGCACCCCCATTAAATCCTCCCATCTGATTTTATTGGCCTGACCTGAGACGAGTATGTCTAAAATGCACTCTGGGTGATTCTAGATATGCATACAAGGTTGAGAACCACTGGATCACAGAATAATTCTGCCATTATGAATAAAGAATTTGGCAATGGCACAATTTTTTTAATTTATCAAAACTTTTCTACTTTAGGCATGTCTCTGCCAACACACTGAGTGAAAAAATCATTGAATAAATCACACTAGTGCTTTCTGTGCTTTTCTGAGCTTTCACTTAGAAATTTGAGGGTGCAGGTTCTGTTTTGTAGTATTTTTTTGTTTGTATTTTTTTTTCATTTTATAGAATTATGAAATTGTATCTTAGGTCATTATTCCTAAATAGTAAATGAAAGTAACCCTGTAAATCCCTGCTATTTTTCTGATAATGGCAGAATTCCTGGTTAAAGCAAATATATATTTTTTCCTGCTTTCTTCAAAAGACTTGACCAGAATATCCCCACTCTCTTGCTTGCTGGTCAGGAGGCACCAATGAGACAGAAGTGGGATTTGGTGTGTAAGCATTTGTCAGATGCCTCCCTTGGCTACATCCTCGACAAAGTCTGAAAGAGCTTGGCCAGGATTGTTGGGGAACCCATGGAAAAGCCCAGAGGCAAGAATAGAAAGGATATCAGTGATTCAGCCCCCTTCCTTGCATCATATCTCTATCCTCCAATGGCTGTCATCTTCCCCTTCTCTCCTCCTTTCTGTTGCCACTGCTTGCAAGTTGCCAGCCTGAGACTTCAGGCAGAGTTTAAGTCCCATCACCACCCATTCCCTGCCTCAGTGCCCAGTTTCTTCAGCACCCTTCTCCTCTTCTGTCTGTTTGCTTCCTTCTGGACCTG